GAACCGTTCCTGGGTTTTACCCCTAGGTCGACTCACCCTCAAATGAGTACCTGGTACAGTGTGTAAACATCGCCACTGAGGGAGACAAAGGCGGCCGGGCGTGGTGTTGTTCCGGCCTTCAAACGGTTGTGCCTTCTTTCGCACCGTACGTAGACAACCGTGCCCATCGGAGGTGCTCGCCATCAACACTTGCCCCAAAAACACATCGTGTCTAGGAGGCTTACCCGGGGCATCTTTGTCGCTGGTCCTGTCACTGGCCCTGCGGAAGCAGTGGCGAGCCGTCGGGCAGAGGGGAGGGGGGTGGTAGAGGTGGCCTGCGACAGCTGCAGTGGTAAATGGATGTGTGGAGGAGAGGGGGGGGTTCTCTTCCTCTGGGCAGGTGGCAGCGATTGATAAGGGGCGGGGGCGGCGGGGGGCCGTAAAGTTTCTGAGTAAGTGCCACGCAGCTCAGCGTGGCGCAGGAAAAGCAGTTTAGCCGCAAATACCAGAAACGAGTAAGTCGGTTCGCGGCCTTCTCTCTCTTTTTTTTTGGCACATTTAAAAAAAAGACACACACACACACGGGCAACGCTCATCGAGGGCGGCGGTAAGATGCGGCACTTGAGTGCCAGCCTCCGCTTGACACGGTTGGCTGCGTACGGTGCGAAAGAAGTCCAACGTTGCACGCATGCAATCATGTAGAACAGAACTCTGATGGCGTGAGTTTGTTCAACTCCACGGTGTTCTGAATGCAGTGACGCTCTGCCTAAATGAGGCCCTATTATCCGCGTATCGATTCTTCCTGTTATCCACCCCTTTTCTCCAAATGAAACGTATCACCTTTAAGCGGTGACGAATGTCATCTTATTATCCGGCTTATCCGCAGATTTCTCACCCAACAGTAGACTCGCCGAATCACTAAACTCATCCAGTCGTCCGCGTCTTGTTGCGGATAAGAGGAGCAACACTTAGGTGGCGTCCAATTCATCGCGTTTCCCCGCATTCATCCGTGAAATAATAAAAAAACACGCACGAGTTCCTCCTTCTGGGTGTGAAGTGATACCAAACAACGGCGCTCACATCACCACCGAACGTTTTTTTCTGTTTGTTTTACAAACACCCGTTCGCAAATGTCCCGCAAACATTTTGGACGCGAAGACAAACGCAGCGTGCTCGCGTCCGTGCTGGTCCTCGTGGGAAGCCGCTTGTTGGAGGTCTTATGGGAAAAGACAGGGAACGGGAAGGAACCACAGGCATCGTGGAAGGAAGCACCAGTGGTCACCGTGCGGCTCCGCTTGGCCGCCTCTGTTCCACTCGCTCAACGCAGCTGGGCCGAACGGGGTTAGCGGTCGTTGCTGTTTTTTTTCGCAAGCTTCGTTCCGTGCCCCATGATTCTTTTCAGTCTCCGAGTAAAAACTGAAAACACCAGCTGTGGTACGGTAGAGGTGCGGTGCAATGTAGCATCGTTGCACATTGGCGTCCCATTTGTTTTAAGTTGTTCTCGTCCGATAGTTTGTGGTTTCCAGAATGGTATCCCGAGACAAATTGAGTGCTTCCATGTAGGGTTTAGATCTTAGGCTCAGAATCAATCATTGATGAAGCTCACACGGCGCCTTCCTCATATGGTCACCCAAGTGGCACGTGATTCTGAACGCAGCGTGAGAGAAAATTTCACGATCTTATTCCAAGGTAGCGCAGACAAATAACGTTTTTGTGTTTTTTCTTGAACCAGTTGAGAGCTCGGCAGACCAGCATAGTCTCATTTACCACCTGGCCTCATTACATTCCTTCCTTAATTTCAGATATCCCTTTTCTCTACACGTGCGCTTAGACAAGCCTTGGCGTTATGTTTAAGTAACGTTTCGCCAGCGTTGCCTGAGCGATGCGCGACTTTTTGTAATGTTGTTTTCCTCCAATGTGTTTTGTCTGCAATCTTACGATTTATTTGCTTCTGTGACTTCCTCTTGTTCACCGAGGTCCTGCGTGACTCGTTTTTTGTAAAGCGGCTTGATGGCTGAATGTTCCATTCAAGTGTGCGCGAATACAACCGATCAGAATATTAAAAAAAAATACTAATTAAAATACATAAATGAAATAGATAAATAAGATATATAAAGTAAGCAAATACAATCGATCATTATCATCATATGCATATTTACTGCAGGAGGAAGCTCTTTTTCACAGGTGTCCAGTAGGGGTCACGGGGTCAGAACGTCTCAACAACAAACAGTTACACAAACACGATGGGAGTGCAAAGTTCAGGGAGAAAGTAAACAAATAACTTAAAAAAACTACAGTCACGTGACTTTACCATAGCTGGCTGCATGAGTCACTCCATAACAGTAGGAGCATCAGTCGGAGTATCAACATTTTTCAATGCATCTTAAAGATCAGCACACTAAATCAAAACACAGATCATACTTTGCAGCGAGAGACAGAGTGGACACGTCAATGTCACTGATCACCAAGTGTCCTGTAGTGCCAGGAGAGAGAGAGAGTGGACAAGTCATTGTCACTGAGCACCAGGTGTTCTGTAGTGCCAGGAGAGAGAGAGAGAGAGTGGACAAGTCATTGTCACTGAGCACCAGGTAATACCCCGGTTGCATGTGTTGCCGAGTGATTTTTTCGTGAAAATTTCGTGGAGAATGTCAACTTTATCTCGTCGTCAGGTCTCATTTAGTCAGGAATATGGTTGTGAAAGCAGTCGGCTTGGGCGAGAGGTGCAAGGCCAGTCCAACAGCTCCCAGCGACGATCGCTGTGCGTGCGAGTGTGGTTCAAGATAACCCTTGCCACAGCTGCTGTATTTGAAAACTTCTACAGACTGCTGACGCACGGACCGTTCAGCATAACGGAACTGGGATACTGTTGCGGCTTTGTCGTTGTTGTTGTTGCTGTTGTGGGACACGTTATTTGATGTGACCTCTCTGGCGAGAGCGACGTCGAATGTTCGACTTTTCAGGCTCATCGGAGTCTTCCCCTTTGGCGGAAGAGCAGTCTGCATGAGCAGTGATGGCACAAATAATAATACAAAAACTCAACACATTTTATCTGGTTGATTACGTTCTTCCTGAGAATGCTAAATTTGAGAGAGAGATTAAACACAGAACCAGAAACATAGACAGTGTGTTTAATCTCTCTCTCAAATTTAGCATTCTCAGGAAGAACGTAGTCAACCAGATATGGTGTTGACTGTTATGTTATCCGACTCTCTGTTGTATTACATTACATTTCTAAGTATACTAGATTTGTGTTTCTATTTAATTTATACCTGATGATGATTGCTTGTGTTGCAATCGAAACGTCGTATGCTAGTATTTAATTTAATTTATTATTTTATCTTTATACGTGACTTTACCGAAAGAACCAAAGAGTAATTCCTGCAGTCACGAAAGCTCCAAATTAAGTTTCAACACATTCGTCAATAACAGTGTGGGGCCTTAAAAGTAAAACAATTGGTGACGTTTTGGGGAGTGGACTTTCTTCATAGTACATAAGAAAGAGCATTGCCGGAGATGTGTTGAGTTTTTCTTGTTATTTGTGTTTGTGCACCACTGCCAATGCAGGTATCACAACGTATTTTGTTTCCTATTGTGAGGGCGCTTCGTGTGCTTTGGAAATTGTTATTCGGTGCCTTGAAGACTCCTGTGAGCCAGCGGTAGAATGCATTGATGAGTCTCCCTGCTCAAGCGAGAGTTGGGTGGTGCCCATTTTGAATTCGGTGGTGCTGAGTCTGTGGTGGGAATTCCATACGACGAGGGCGAAGGCCTTGATTCTCTCCACAGGGCAACGACTGCCTTAGAGAGTGAACCCCACTTTATACTGGTAGGAACCTCCTTGTTTTATTTTTTATTAATTTTAATTTCATTTTTTACCTACGTGACTTTACCGAAAGAACTAAGAGTATGAATCCTTGCAGTCACGAAAGCTTCAAATCTAGAAGGAACCTCCTGGTTCCACCAGCCCACAGGGGATTATTGTGTTCATCCGTCCGTCGTGCATTCAAAAATGGGAGGGGTGGGGCTGGGTGGAGAGGGGAGGGTGGGGAGGGGCTGGGTGGGGAGGGTGGGGAGGGGCTGGGTGGGGAGTGTGGGGAGGGGCTGGGTGGGGAGGGTGGGGAGGGCGCTGTGTGGGGAGGGGCTGTGTGGGGAGGGTGGGAAGGGGCTGGGTGGGGAGGGATGGCGCTGGGTGGGGAGGGGCTGTTCATCCCGTGGTGCCCTTATAAAACTCAACGTTTAACCTACTCACGCCGGCTTGTGCCCGCCCTCACAGTCGGCCATATTTTCGGAATACACCACGCCGCCGTTGACTCTGGCCATTGACCGAGCCACCCAACGTTCCTACCAGCTCTCTCCGCAGGAATGTGTTTCACTTTTTTGGAGGCACGAGTGGAAAGGTCGACTGGAATTTTATTCAGAGGCATCTGAACTTCACAACGTTCTGGGCGACATTTTAGATGCTCGAGCTCAGTGTACTCTGTATTTGTCCAATTATTATTGTAGGTGTGTCATTATTTTGCAACGGACAGACAATACGTTTCCTCGCGTGTTGAACTTCTTTCGCACCGTACGTAGCCAACCGTGCTAATCGGAGGTGCGGGAGAAGGACAACAACACTAAACACACAAAGCAGTTCGACATAAATTAGTGTGTCAACCTGTTTTAAAAGTGCATTGCTCCAGTGGCTTTCCTAACATCGGAAGGGAGAGCGTTCCAGACGGCCGCAGAAGCGCCATCCGAAAGCGCCGCGCGATGCTGCTTCACTTCTCTGCCAATCCACAACGACCTCTGGGGGATGTAAGAACATTAACGTGTAACCGAACCGGATATTGCAACTAAATAATTACTCGGGGAAAAAAAAAAACCCCGCTCGCATTTAGAGCCCGCTGCAAATGCGAGCTCGGTCGACGTTCGGCTGTTGGCGTTTCAAAACGAGTGTTGTTGACGCGGCGTATCGCCGTCGCGGTTTTTTGTTGGGGTAAACTTTGGTCGCTAGGGAAACCAGCCGAGTTTTGCGCTTCACGCGGGGACCGGAGTGGAACCTCCACCTCCACCACCTCCTTCTCCTCTTCCACTTCCTCCCTTCTGTCGTTGCGCGCGGGGAGCGCTACGGGAAGCGCGGCGTGGCAGCCAGGGGGTTCCCACTTGTGATGGTTTTCCTGGTTTTCCAAGGAATCGTTCTCTTGACGAGGGAGCCGCTTGGGAAATATGTTCGTCTGCCTGGGTCGTTTAAAAGTCATGGATTTTTTTGTTTCATGGCAGTTGTTTTGGTTGGCCATCGGTCACCGCACCGCGTGCTTTCAGATGCGCATTTGCGGCCGTCGGGAACGTTCTTCCGATATTTGGAAGCCACTGGAGCAATGCACTTTTAAGTCGAGATTGAAAACTCTTTTTTTTTCGAACTGATTTTTGTGTTTAGTTTGTTGTCCTTCCCCCGCACCTTCAATTAGCACGGTAGGCAACGTACAGTGCGAATTCATTTCAACACATACATACATTTAATAATGCACACTCCTACACTATGGAAGGAAATGCATGTGGGTTCTTCCCTCTCATCTGTTACCGTGAAATATTCTGCGAGCTCCCACGACATGTTTTTTTTCTACGCCAGCACGTGGGAACCGTTCCCGTAAGCTGGCCGAGTGGCACTGTGCTCTGTGGGGTCGGTGGCCCAACGTGTCGTGAGAAGTGCGTGAAGTCAAATTCCAGTGGCGGGCCACTTCAGCCCATCATCCCCCTTTGGGGTTCCTAAAACGAGTTAGTGTTTGCGTGGGGCAGTCTTAGCCAAGGGATTAAAATGTTAAACTGCTCCACCGCAAAGTTCGAGCGTGCTCGCAGCCAGCGCTGTTCCACGTCCGTTCGTGCAAGATGCCCGCGCCTTTTGATCCGAAAGCGTGGAGGGAGATGCTGGACTCGTCCGTGGGACGTGACCAACGTGGCATGGATGGGGAGGCCTCCATCCAGCAGTGGACGCACAGAGGCCGGGGAATGATCTATTTACATGTCTAAACAAAAAAATTAGCTACGTGAAAATGTCCATCGTTTTGTTTCCTTCGGCAGAATTTATATATATTTTCCCCATGAATGCTCGATGTATAATACATTGTTCTTACAAGCGTGCACCTGGTGTACTAAAGCGTTCAGAGGATTATTGCAAGTCAAACATACACGGTGTGTGAGTGTGTGTTCAAGCGAACAGCGTACTTTTTTTAGATCATTTAGATTTTTTTTACTTTGTTTAAGTGTCGATGAACGTTTCCATCGGAGGCAGCTGTTGATGAGGAACTCTCGTTTGGTGAACGCGCATAGAGCATGCGTGTTATGAAAGCTGGTGGTGGGGATTGGGGGGGGGGCGAGAGATGGCAGGAGGGGTGAATTGGCAGGTGGCACTCGAGATTAGAGTCGCTAAAATAGTTTGAGTTTCTCTCTCTCCACTGCCGGTTAACCGAAAAAACGACAAAAAAAGCAACCGGTAAAAATCCTGGTGACCGTCGGTTGTAGCCGCACGTGAATAAACGTCTCTTGCCCTCCACGTGGCGTGTTTAGCTTCATGGACCGAGCAAACGAAGGGAGCTGCTCTCTCGGCGGAGTAGCGGTCAGCATGCTCGCTGGAACTCGCACAACGGAGGTCGTCACATTTTCCCCACTCAATCCTCTCCGAGCGACAGCCAAAATAACGTGGAAGGGTTTCTTACATCCCCCCGTCTCACCCCCCCTCGCCACTCCAGCGCTTCTGTCCACCCAGAGGGCACACCCAGTTAGTCGTCCGTGTGTTCGTTGCGTGTGGTGGGGCTAAAGTGTGGGGTGCTCCCATCTCTCCCGAGATGTCCGCTCCAAGTGGATGAGTCGGCCACAAGCACTCTGGAGCTCCCTCTGGTGGAGCCCCTTTCCGCCGGCGGCGGCGATAGCGAGCGAGCCAGCAACTGCGGGGATGCGCCTTTAACTTTTTTAGCGGAGTGCGGTTTTTGTACCTCCGCGTGTGCCAATCAACGCGTTCATTCCTAGAATTTCAACCGAAAATTAATGACCGTTTCGTGGCTTTTTGGAAGCGGTAATCCGTTATGAAAACGTTACCGGTTGCTGTCGTTGGGTTTTCTCCGTATGCTGCAGATTCTTCCCACACGTATTAACGCTCATTAACCGGCTGGAAACACCTTGATATGTACAATTGTTGGTAGCGTCGGCTCGCCACTTGCCCGCCGGTGCCCTCACGCTCGTCTTAGCATTTGCGAAGTGCAATTTGCATGAACGGCAACGCTGTATGAAACACAAACTAAACATAGTTATTGCTCTCATTTTTAGCAACCCTACTGTGGATATAGGAGTCGAGGCCTAAACCCGCAAGCATCACGCAAAAAAGCCGACACCTGTTGTAGAATATTTTTCCCCGTAAATATAAATTCATTTTAAGGCAGCGTGTGATGACGCATGTGTTGATTATTTTTTTTAGTAGTTCTGCGGGAGTAGAAGACTCGGCATTTGGATGCAAAACGTGCACACCTGGGTTTTGGTTTTGTAAACTGCGCGACGTTTTGCTTCCACCGTCGCGTGGTGACCTCTGGTGGCTTCTGTGAAGCTGTCCTGCTGTGAACACAAACACAGCGCTGCACCCTCCCTCCCTGCACTCCCACCGAAACTTCCGGCTGGCCATCGAACAAAGACGGTCACCGCATCGCGCGCTTTCAGATGCGCTTCTGCGGCCGTCTGGAACGCTCTTCCTTTCCGATATTAGGAAGGCACTGGAGCTGTGCACTTTAAAATCGTCATCCAGATTGACACACCCATTTGTTTAGAACTGCTTTTTTGCGTTTAGTTTGTTGTCCTCTCTCCCCCGCCGTACATCCGATTAGCACGGTTTGCTACGTACGGTGAGAAAAGGCATTCAACATGCATGCACACGTGCCGTACAATGGAACAAGTCAGCCACGTGCCTCGCATCTGGCTGATACGAATCGTTCGCTTCCCTACGGCCACCTGAACCCTCGCGTCTGCAGAGGGGGTGTCGCAAAGGGGCCTCCAGTTAATTCAGTTCGGCGTCTCTGCGCTCAAAACGAGCGTCGTTTCACGTTGACGTCCTCTGGTGGTCCCAACGTCAGTGGCGACAACCTCACATTCCCACGGATCGGGCCTAGTCCCTCCTTTGAAAAACCACCGTTGATTTAAAACCCAAGCGAATCGTCACCAAGTGGTTCTCATTTGACCACGGCCAGAGGGATAGGAATGGTGGCGATGATGGCCATGAAATGCATGAACTTGCGATGTTCAGATCGGGAGCCCTGATGCGCCGCAACTTGAGCGATGTCCTTGCCCACTCTGCAATTCACATCAGAAGCCCTGGGATCCATGTCCCACAGAACCCTTCCGTCAAATTCGTGACTTACTGCTGCAACGCGCGTACAAGTGCCCTGCTGCTTCTGGCCTGGGTGAGAGAAAGCAGGAAGACTTGCGGAAGTGCGTTCTCCAACTGCGTGCATTTTGCAAGCCCTTTAGTCCAAAGCTCACGTGGTCTTTAAGATGCTCAGAATGAGACAGTAGTAGAGAGGAGGGCATTGTCGAGTCAAGCCTCTGTTCATTAAACAAACTCCGTGAAGTGGAAAAACTGCCGCGGCGTTCCCCGCGACCTCTATTCAGAATCAGAATTTTACTGGTAGGAACCTCCTGGTTACATCAGCCCACAGGGGAATATTGTATCCGTCCGTCCGTCGTGAAGGGAGGGGCTGGGTGGGGAGGGGAGGGTGGGGAGGGGCTGGGTGGGGAGGGTGGGGCTGGGTGGGGAGGGGAGGGGAGGGTGGGGATGGGCTGGGTGGGGAGGGTGGGGAGGGGCTGGGTGGTGAGGGGCTGGGTGGGGAGGGGCTGGTCACCCCGTGGTGCCCTTATTAAACTCAACGTTTAACCTACCAGGTCTGTCGGGGAGACAGACCTGGTCTTCACCTGAGGTCTACATCCCTTCTGTCTACCTCCTGAACTCGGATAACGCCTCTAGGGGAAGGATGGGAATGGAGGGGGGGGGGAATTAAAAGGGGGGGGGGGAGTGGAGGGATGGGGGTGCCTGAATGCCCTCATAGATGATCTTAACAAGCAATGCCCGACTGGGGGGAGAATCCGTGAAGGCAAGATAAACCTTTGTCTGGTTTGACAGGAGACGCTGCGAGGCAATTAACGACGGCGCTGCGTCACCGCTTTTCTTTTGCAGAATTCTATGAACCTGCCACCGGACAAAGCACAGCTGCTGCAAGATTACGACGTCGAGAAGAAATGGGAGCTCGTCTGCGACCAGGTGGGGAGTCGCCTTGTTTTCACTGATCACCATAAACGTCCCGCGTGCAGGTGGAGCGGTGGCGCAGCGGTTAGCGCGCTGCGCTACGAACCTAGCGAGCCGAGTTCGATTCTCGCTCACGGCTAACAGCAGTTGACGATGATCTGAACTGCTCCTGAGCCTCCGCTAGGCTAACTCGGCCTCAAATGAGTACCTGGTGCGGTGTGTAAACATCGCCACTGGGGAGACAAAGGCGGACGGGTGTGGTGCTGGCCACCCACCCCCTCGTGTGCCGTCCCTAGAGTCTGTTAAGATGTTTTAAAATTTCGATGGAAAACTCATTTCTTTAGAATTGCTTTTTGTGTTGAGTTTGCTGTCCTCCTGCACCTCCGATTAGCACGGTTGACTACGTACGGCGTGAAATAAGTTCAACTCACGTACATACAAGTGAAAGCCCAGTGAGACGCATTGCCTCACCAAACTGGGTCACTGTGATGTCCGTTATTTAATTAAAACAATTACATTTTTACGTGGGCGTTTCTGAAATGTGTGAATTCTGATCTCCAAGACCAAATAGGTGGGCATCTACGATTGCTACGCGATGCCCGCGGGAGCCCTCGGAAGATGATGCCGTGGGGAGCCGAGATTGGCAACTTCCCTACGGCATCTCTCAACTTGCCCTCCGCATTAAAACCTTACTAGGAAGCCACTGGGAGCTCTCCACTTCTAAATCATGCAGATTGAAAACTCACTTCTTTAGAACAGTTTTTTGGTCTGTGTAGTTCGTTCTCCTGTGTCGCGACGGGCACTTCAGCATTCGACCGTGCCCATCTGGTTGCTCACTGAGCTGCATTGGCTTCCAGCTGCTGCAAGCATACATGATAAGGTCACACTCATGACACACATAGTGCTTGCCACAAATGAACCACAATACCTTGTTGATCTCGTCATGGAGCATAAACCATCATCACGCGAACTCCGGTCATCCTCGCAGCATTGGCCTTTGGCTAGCCATCGAATAAAAATGGCCGCTGCATCACGTGCTTTTACGGGCGCTTCTGCAGCCAGTCTGGAACGCTCTTCGATCCCATATTAGGAAGTCACCAGAGCTATGCACTTTTAAATCGAGATTTAAATCTAGATTGACAACGATTTTCTTTACAAAAACTTTTTGTGTTTAGTTTGTTGTCTTCCCCCCCCCCCCCCCGCCGCACCTCCGATTAGCACGGTGGGCTAACGTACGGTGCAAAAGAAGTTCAATGCACATACAAGCGGTCGTCTTCGCTCACTACTTTCCGCTCTTTCCTAAAACTAACTTCTTTTTTTTCCAAAGCTCACCCCACGACCCAATAATCTCATCTAACCACGATCGCTCCTGCTCCCTCTTGATAATCTATCTCGATGGCGAGCACTCAATCCCTATCCATCCATCTAATCCGGTCATCATCATTTTATTTTCCTTAATTCACGCATCACGGGTTCGCCCATTACTTCCTCTCGTCTATTTTATTCACCGAATCTTCACCACTACATTAATGCGTACCCATCGTTAATTATCTGAAAGGCGCCTTTGGTGAAAGCCCATTATATATATACATTACGTGAAGATATGGTTGCGTGCCCAGAGGGCATGGTCGTGGTTTGGGTGAAATCTGCGCATGTACGTATGCACGCATGTGTGTTTGTTGAACTCGGTTCGCACCGTGCGTAGGCCAACCATGCTCATCGGAGGTGCGGGCGCGTGGGCGCCGTTGCGTCCGCTCTTTTTAAATCCGTTATATTAAGTTCGCTTGCTTGCACGCTTACGACCGTGCAAATCTTTCGGTCGTTTTTTAACCCACTTCCCGTGATCCAATCGAGCTGACATTTTGCACACAGACTCGTTGTGCGTGACAATGAATTTTCGTGAAATTTTTTTCCAAAATGTTACACTGTTTAGGGAAAAAATGTAAATATTTATTTACCAATTGGTTAATGCTGGCACACAATCATCTGACCCATAGGTGGCAGCCATCTCAAGCCAGAGGACGAGAGCACTCTAGCCGCCCGTTTAAAAGACCAATGTGGGCTGGGTTGTGGCCCATTGAACACGCATATAAAGGATTTATAGTGAAAAACTTTGTTTTTACGGGTTAATTTTTTAAATCCTTTATATTAAGTTCGCTTGCTTGCTTACGACCGTGCAAATCTTTCGGTCGTTTTTTAACCCACTTCCCGTGATCCAATCGAGCTGACATTTTGCACACAGACTCGTTGTGTGTGACAATGCATTTTCGTGAAAAAATTTTCCCAAAATTTTACACTGTTTAGGGAAAATTTTTAAAATATTTAATTACCAAATGTTTAATGCTGCCAGACAATCATCTGACCCATAGGTGGCAGCCATCTCAAGCCAGAGGACGAGAGGACTCTAGCCGCCACGCATATAAAGGATTTATAGTGAAAAACTTAGTTTTTACGGGTTATACTTGTTTGTTCTCAGGAGCGATTCCAGGTGAAGAACCCGCCGCACACCTACATCCAGCAGCTCAAGAGCCACATGGAGTTCAGCATGGCTCGCAAGGTGACTTGCCCCCCCCCCGTGCCCCCCACACTCGCGACATCCGGCACCCGGGCACTGCCTTCGACATCCCCACGGCACAGCGCTATCGTCTGTGGCTGTGGTTGTCACTCTCTGGACCCGTGGGTCACCGTCAACCCTCGACAGATGTTTGTGGGCCACCATGTGCTAAAAATATGTTTTGTGGCATGTATATGCAGTGTTCCCTCGTTATTCACCAACTTGTGATCGGCGATTTTCGCAATCTGCGAATCGCATCTGCAACTCGACACGACTGCATCGAGAGAGAGGGAAAATAAAATAAATAATGAGATTAAGTGATGAGATTAAGTGATGGGATAAAGTGGTGGTAGATTAAGTGGTGAGATAAAAGGTTTTCTCGTGCAAATATCGTTATCCGTGAAATTTGCTCTTCATCAGCATCTTCTGAACTTATCATACGCGAATAACGAGGGAATCACAATGTGTAATATATATATATACATGTATCGGGTTTTTCTTTCCATTTATGTTGCTATATGCCCCCTGTATCGTTCCCGTTCTGCTGCAAACGCGCACCGATGCCCACTTTATTAAGGACGATAGTGGCACGTAAAATAAAGATCGATATATATTTTAAAAAAAACACGTGTCCGCAGCAATTCCGCGAACCACTTCCCGTGGCCTTGGGAGACCCACGGTCGGCCACGTTTGCTGAAAATGCCCTTTGACGGTGGCGTAGCACGAGAGGACAACCATGCAAAGGGGTCGGGGGGGGGTGTTTCAGCATGCACAAAGGCTGAGTGCTTTGTACACATTTTTGCACCTTGTTGTTGTTTGTTTGTTTGTTGTTTATGGTTTCACGACGAGGAGCCTTTGTCGTTGTTTACAGATTTGTTCACCGTTTCCGCAGACTACAGGTTGGCAACCATTTGCGCTGTGCAATGTTATTGTTGTAATCCCTGCTCGCCGAACAACGATGGCCAGATGCTCACAAACAATGGGCTTGCTTTTTTTACCACCTCTGAGTGATACCAAAAAATACATACTTTGTTTTTAATTCAACTGCATATCAAGCCAGGCGCTGCGAAAGCAGAGCGGCTTGACTCACCGTTGCACGGTTGTGAGTTTGATTCCAAGTCGAGGGTCTTCTTACCGATTAACACTTCGGGGGTCAATAAAATACGAATCGCTTTGCGTGGATTCAATCGTGGCTGTCCTATTGGGACCCCCCCCCCCCGTCACGTGAACACCACCGGCTCAGCATCACCAACGGAGATGAACACCGCTCAACAGACACGCAAGCTCTGCAACTTGACGTAGACTCAACTTGCACAATGTTTGTGACACAGCAGCAGCTCGCATCGCGTGGTGAAGTATGGTGAAGTTTCCCTCTCGACCCACAAGGGGCAGGAAAGCCCTCGTCCACTAGTGGTCTGACAGAAACACAGGCTGCCCACATGAATACACACTCATTTGCGTGCGATGTACAACCTGTGCGCACGCACCTCCGGTGAGCACGGTTGGCTACGTACGGCGCGAAAGAAGTTCAACATACGCACGTGCGTACAGTGCGGTAAATGTGCCGATGTGTTTTTCTCGTTGCAGTTCAAGAAACGAGTGCAGGAGTCGACGCAGGTGCTACGCGAGATCGAGATCTCTCTGCGCACGAACCACATTGGGTGAGTGGCTCGTGACGAGTTGTAGGCCACTCGTCGTTCTCCGTACACGTGCCGCGGTCATCCGTGATGAAGAATATATCTTACAATAACAACAACAACAACAACAGGTCAATGTCTCCTAGAAGGCTGTGTGGCCGATGGGATGTGTTTAAAAAAAATATAAATAATAAATAAATCACTCCCAGAATGCCGTGTGGCTGATGGGATGTGTTTTAAAAAATATATATGTATAATTAAATCACTCCCAGAATGCCGTGTAGCTGATGGGATGTGTTTAAAGAATCTAAATAAAAAAGAATCTCTAACAGAAGGCCGTGGGATGATGGAATAGGTTTTTTTTTTTTACGTGTGGAGGGATGGATATGGGAAGCAGATGTATCGTCTGCTTGTCTATCTTATAAATAACCTTCTGAGATTTTGAAACTGACAACCCACGCACAATACTAAAAGGAAGAGTCATATTTTAGTGAGCAAATTAAAATTCATGACCAATAGCGGAAGGAAAAATTAGCAGACAGTGCGGGTCCTTCCCGTATTGCCTGTTTATTTATTTAGGGGCTTTTCGTTTCTTCATTTAATTACTGCCTCCACATGTGTTTTAATCTCTCATCTAATCACACCGCGAGAATTAACACCGTGCTTATTTTGCCGTTCAACAAAACAATACAAATGCAATTCCCAACATTTATCATCCAGTCATATTTAATCTACCGAGCAAACACACAGACTAATCTCATCTACTGGCTTTTGCGCTTCCAATCATCATCATCATCGTCGTAATTATGATAATCTTTACTACGATAAAGCCTCAAGAAGATATTTTTTTTTCTTCCAGATCGGCCCTTCGTTAGGATGTATCGTCAACTCCTCACCGAGTGAATGTCACCTGTGTGGTAGCAACTGGACTATCCAGAGAACGCCCCACGGTTCTCCAGCCTCAGGGCATGTGGCTCAAGGCTCCTTGACGTTGTCCGAGGGCGAAACTCTTAGGGGCCGTCCATAAATGACGTCACGCACCTAGGGGAGAGGGGGGGGGGTCAGACATTTGTGACGATGTGTGACGAGGGGCGGGGGGGGGTTGAGAAATGTGATGTCACATCAAAATGCGCAACTTTAAATGAATATAGACAACACGTTCTACTGAACTAAATTGACATTTTAATAAATATTTTCACCTACAACATCAGAGTACAGCGCCACATTAAATACGCACTACAATGACAATAGTTTAAAGCGATTTGAAGCATGTTTAATTTACAAAATGGAAATGTTTTTTTTGTGGGGGAGGGGGGGGGCAGAGCTTGTGACGTCATATTTAAGGGGGGGGGTTGACTTTTATAACGCCGTGTGACGAGGGGGAGGTAAAAAATCGTCCAAAATCGCGTGACGTCATTTATGGACGGCCCCTTCCACGCTTACCCCTTGTAGTGCGTTCACACCGCGCCGTGCGGACCCCCCCCCCCCACCTCTCTTGTTGCCCAGGTGGGTGAGGGAGTTTCTGAACGAGGAGAACCGGGGGCTGGACGTTCTCGTGGATTACCTGTGCCACACGCAGAGCTCCGGCACGTGAGTTGCTGGGTGTCTTGTTTTGTTTGTTTGTTCAACGGAAGCTCCTTCTTTACACCTCATCTTCCTCTCAACTCTCCGCTTTTCCGACCCCATAACCACGTCTTCGACGATTTGCCAGTCGCAAAACCATGACCTGGCCATGCAAAGTGGCTGCCTGCTCCAAATGGGCATTGAAGCAGCGCTCACCTCAGTTCAACATCCTACGGCTGAATTTCGATTTAAAGCTTTCGTGACTGCAGGGATTCATCTTCTTGGTTCTTTCGGTAAAGTCACGTAGAAGGGAAATAATAAAATATAAAAAAATAAAAAATATTTCAGACGCTGTCTCCCCGACAGACCTGGTCTTCACCTGAGGACGGCTGCTTGCGTTGTAGCCGAAACGTCGTGAGATGTTTTATTTTTATTATTTTATTATTTCCCCTCTACGTGACTTTACCGAAAGAACCAAGAAGATGAATCCTACGGCGGGGTTGAGGTCATCTATAAGACGACCACCGTTGACTTCTCCACCAAGTGATACGCATTGATCGATCCCAACCGGGATGATTTGAACTCGCGATTTTCTGATCATGAGCCGCTTGCTTTACCCCCGAACCACACAACGCATACCCGCAGCATTGCGAAGCACACAACCTCTAACCACAGGGTCGCTCTTCTTCTATGAATCGCTGATTATGAATCGCTCTTCTTATTGTGCCTTGCTTCTAAGGTAGCAGCGCTCGCTCTTTTAAATTAAGCCGTGATCTATCCACTGCTGGACCAAGGGCTGCCCGATCAGTCTCGTTGCCGTGCACGGCAGATTCCACGAGCGGCTTTCATTTCACAATCTTTGGAGCGACGATCATCAGCTGGCGATGTTGATGATGACATCGATGACTTCAGCTGGTGACATCCTCTCGGGCGCGTTTCCTCTTTTGGCCGGTGTTATTTATCTTTGCTATTTTAGTCTCAGATGACAAGTGGCCGAGATCATAGATCATACTTACTTATTTTTTTCATTTCGATTTAAAGCTTTCGTGACTGCAGGGATTCATCTTCTTGGTTCTTTCGGTAAAGTCACGTAGAAGGGAAATAAAAAAATACAAATAAAAAAAAAATAAAAAAACATTTCAGACGCTGTCTCCCCGACAGACATGGTCTTCACCTGAGGACGGCTGCTTGCGTTGTGGCCGTAACGTCGTGAGAATTATTTTATTATGTTTTATTTTTTATTATTTTATTACTTCCCTTCGACGTGACTTTACCGAAAGAACCAAGATGATTATTTTTTTCACTTCTCTGCGTTTCCTTGCTGGACCTCCGGGAAAAGCCCGAAGTCCACGGCATGGCGTGGTCTGGACGTTCCCTTGGTGCCGTGGCCGTGAACGTGCGTGCATCAGGAGAGAGCGAACGGGCGATTACTGCGCGTAATCGCCAGCCCGTTCGACGCCTCCAGACGCGCTTCGTCTGTGCGCGCGCGTGCTCCACCGTGTGCGCCGCTCGACGACACCTTTTCTCTCTTTCTCTCATTTCATTCCGTCGGTCGTCGGAATTCTTCCTCTCTCGAAATGACAACGATCGCTGCTTCCCGTCATTCTCCCGCTAAGCCCCCCCGCCGCTTGCTTCTACCCCCCCCCCCCTCACCATCACCTTGGCAGGGAATAAGACCGCCGAAGGTAATTTCACTCGACCATCCGTGAAACCAAAATCGGTGTTGAGTCCTCGCGTCTCTTGCGCAGGAGTCTCCCCGCGCACGTGCCCCACCGTCCTTCCCCACCGCCTCTCTCGTCGTTCCAACAGCTACGACGACGCCGCCGCCGCAGCAGCCGCCACCACGGACAGCGGCGCGACTCCGGCGATGGCCGAGAGGCAGAAGTCGGTGGACGGCGCCATCGACGAGGACGCGGAGCACGAGTCGAGCGTCAGCGGCCTCACCTCCGCCGCCAGCAGCGTGTCCCGGGCGGCCAAGCAACTGCTGCTGCGGTACTACGGTCACCACGCGGAGAGCGTCCAGGCTTGCCCGTCCGTCGAGGCCGCGAGAGCACTGCCACTGGCACCGGGGCACGGGACCCAGTAGGGGCGGCCTGGCTCGCGTGGTCTCGCCAGAACTGACGTCCGTGCGCTGCGACGTCGGTTAATTATCTCGGGATGCCAAAGTGCAACCGGTAGCCTCTCGCTCGCTGCTCGGTGCGGTGGGTGACCTGGGACTGAGTGCGGGTTACTCACGACTTAGCACGATCTTACGGCCAGGATCAACGAGGCCAATTTTTAGGGCAGTCATCGCTGGCAGTGATTTTTTTTTTACCCTGAGCAACTTTGGTGCTTTCGTGCAGGCAGTGGCGTAGAGCCGGTGGAGTTCTCGGTCTCTGATGAAGGTGATTTGTTGAGAAGTGTACTTTGACGAGCAGTGATTGACCGACAAAGCACATTACCTCGGGTTGTTATGTGACCTGTCCCTGATCTGAGCGGAAGCTGTGTTGCCATCCCAATTGTGGCGATCGGATTTATCCACGTTTGTCAGTCATAATTCCTGTCGACAGTTGCCCTAAAATTTACAAAAACGTACCACAGACTTGAGCGAAGCATACAGAAGACAAAGCTACCCCCTATATTTTTAACAGGTTGTTGGGGTAAGTGCTGTTAGTGAGTACCTACGTAGGCCGGCATGGCACACGAGGGGGTGGGTTGTCAGCACCACACCTGGCTTGCCTTTGGTTCCAAAATGGTGATGTTTACACATCGCACCGGGCACTCGTTTGAGGCTGAGTCAACCTTTGGGAGGCCCACGTCTGGTTCAAATAATCGTCACTGTTGACCGTGAGCGGGGATCGAACTCAGGTTGCTGAGTTTGTGGTGCAGCGCGCTAACCACTCCACTACCGCTCCTCGCAAGCTCACGAACACACAGGCACACCACACAGGTTTACAGAAATGCATGCTTACACATTTGCAGTTTTCATCCACCGTTGCCTACTGGTGACCAAACAGGAGATGAGAACAATGGGATGTAGCCCTGCATCTGTAAGTTTAATAAGTTAGGGCCAGGGTTGTAAGTGGCTATCGTGTTTTTGTTTTTTTTGTGTTGTAACTTTCTAACCGGCCCCTCCTGGACATCTGTGCTCATCGTATTTCACCAGGAGAAATAAAAAAAACTCTTGATTCTGTACCAGGGTGCTGGAAATGCGTGACTCCAGTGGCATTAGAGTCACGGATAAGAATAACTGAGCACCTAGGATGGTGCCGCAGGGAATAAAGTGACGGCTCACCCCCCACCACCACCCCCGCCTTTACACGCGCAACGTTAGGCTGTGATTGACTTGCAACTTTCACCGCCAGACACAACACGCTCAACCGCCGGTGGACCTTCCGCAACCAAAAGGCTGTGAGCCAGGATGACGTCCACGTGTGCATCATGTGCCTGCGCGCCATCATGAACTACCAGGCAAGTGCTGCTCCCTGTGGGGGGGGGGTGATCACTTCATCACGACACGCACCCCCTTGCAAAACACTTGAGGGCCCGATTCATAGATTGGTAAGAACTAATGTTCCACCGAAAAGTAGAAAACACCAAATCATCGCGTGTTTGTGAGAATCGCCTTTTGCGCCAAAGCTTGACTTTCCCGTCACCTTCGGGGTGGAGTGACGACGCCGCGGTTCGTGCACTGCGCTACGGACTCAGCGACCCAAGTTTGGTTCCTGGCCACGGTTAACGTGAGCGGCGAGCGATGTCTGGACCGGTCTTGGGCCCTACCCCTGCAACCATCTTGCATTGGCCATTGGTGTAGAGTACTGGACATGTGTGAAAAAGAGCTTCATAGCTCATCGGATTTCTCCAGGATAAATAAAGCTTCTGAATTCGCGAACAATGTTCAAGCTCAAGTTCATTTATTCAAGTTCATTTATTAGGTATAGCCCTGTGAGCCATTCGGCTCTTGAATCGGGTGCAACCGCAACAAACAAAAAACTAAAACATGAACAAAAAACATCTTAAAGTGAATATGTGACTACGTGCAAACGGAAAATCCAAGAAAAGACAGCAAAACATTGCAGAAAAAAACACCGTACACCAACGCTGTGTGCAAAAATCCCAGTGGGATGCAAGTCAAACAACAACAACCACAAGACAACTGAGATTAAGGCCATCAGTCTAACTCTGTACTACAACAAACAAACATGGCTAAACCAATACACTTATCGAAATCACCAAAATATAGCCATGAAAGACATGGGGGAGACCTTTATTCAGCGGTGGATTGACGAAAGGGCTGACAATTATCACAAAATCTGTCAAATTATGTCAACTGCGTATCTTTTTTTTGTACAAAAAGTAACAAAAATATATGTTATTCTCCCTGGTCAAATGTATATGGGGGTGGCTTTCACCTTCGCTGGTAGTCCTGAGACAGTGATACAAAAAAAAATCCACGTTCGCATTGTGACAATTTCTGGAAAATATGTCCATAGTGTGATTGACTTGAGATACTTTTCTTATTCACAGATGTCATCTTAATGAGCTATGAGATCCAATTACCACTGATTCCCCACCCCCCACTCCTCCCCTATCAATTTGTGCCCAAGTCACCAAACACGGCCACCGAGTTGATTGACTTTGTTTTTCGTTTGCCCGCAGTCTGGCTTCAACCTGGTGATGTCCCACCCCAGCTGTGTCAACGAGATCACGCTGAGCCTCAACAACAGAAGTCCCAGGTGGGGAGCGAACTCGCACCACCGGTGACGCGCTTCGATTTTTTGTTTTGTTTTTAAAACACAAATATAACCCAAACACAACTCGGCAGCCGGCCGCGCGCGTTTGTCCTGCAGCCTTCGTTGGCAGCAGCCGACTGGGAAGAAGAGGAAAAAAAAACCCGCAACCCACGTAAACAAAAACTTTGCTCTTTAGAGTTTTATATAATTGCCTCCTGATTGTGTTACAGATGGCAGACGGCTCGTTTTGTCCGTAAGGCCCCACCATGCTGCGCTACTGTCTAGGTTTTATCAGCGCCTTAAGAATCGGCGCACGTACCTAACCATCGAACAAAGACGGTCACTGCATCGGCCGCTTTCAGATGTTCTTGTGCAGCCATCTGGAATGCTCTTCCGATATTAGGAAGCCACTGGTGCTATGCACTTTCAAACTAAATAGAAAAGCCATTTCCTTAGAACTGTTTTTTGTGTTCCGTTTGTTGTCTTTCCCCCGCACCTCCAATTAGCAAGGTTGGCTACGTACGGCGCGAAAGAAGTTCAACATACGTGTATACATATGTGATCATGCTATGTCGTGGCGTTCTCAACATTTGTTTTAATTCTAGATTTGAAGTTTTCGTGACTGCAAGAATCCATACTCTTTGGTTCTTTCGGTAAAGTCACGTAGATGAAAAAAAAATATTTATTTATTTTCATTTCATTACTTTTATTATTATTTTTATTTTTCATCTACGTGACTTTACCGAAAGCACCAAAGAGTATTTGTTTTAATCTGACCACATTGTTGCTGACGATGAATTATCACATGCGATGAAAGTGGTCGCACGTGTTAATTCACCTGTTGTTTGCGTGACCCAACCCAGTCTGGCTGCAGCAGCTTAAATCTTGACTCAAAGCTTCGTGTCTGCAGGAATTCATATTTTTCGTGTTACGTCGTAGTTTTTTTTGTTATTATCTTCGAACCTATCCACGTGACTTTACCGAAAGACCCAAAAGAATATGCAGCAGCGTACCTTGCTTCAGCAAAGGTGGACACCGCTCCCCTCCCAGGCGCGTTGAGCTTCCGTGAGCTTCTGCTACGATCCATCCCCCTCCCGAACGGTTACGCGACGACATTCACAAACCGTAGCCGAGCACCGAAAGCAGTCGCGGACAACAATCGGTGAACTTCGATAGGCGGCGCTGGGTGTGCATCACTGCCCTCCCTCCTGCCCCACTCGTTTTGAAGCTGTCAGCGCTGTGACCCCGCAGGACGAAGGCTCTGGTGCTGGAGCTCCTGGCGGCTGTCTGCCTCGTGCTGGGAGGTCACAGCAAGATTCTCGCCGCCTTCAGCAACTTCAAGGAGGTGACGGAAGCAGCGGGGGGAGCCTTTGAGAGGCAGGCTGAGGATCGGCGGTCGCCGCGTCGCGCGCTTTCGGATGCGCCCCCTGTGGCCGTCTGGAACGCTCTTCCTTCCTATATTAGGAAGCCATCGGGAGCTTTGCACTTTTAAATTTAGATCGAAAACTCATTGACTGAGAACTCCGTTTAGTGTTCAGTTTGTTGTCCTTCCCCCGCATCTCCCATTTTCACGCTTGGCTTCGCACGGTGCGAAAGATGCTCAACATACGTACATCCTATGGCCGGCCGCAATCACCATCGTAATGCTTATCATTACGATGGTGATTGCGGCCGGCCATGGCTTTTGTACAAACGTACATGCTTTAAGAGCGGTGGATAATAGTGATTGATGATGATGACGACGATGATGGTGGTGATGACGGTGATGGTGATAATGACGATGATGACGATTGTGTATTTCTCAACAGTCGTGTGGAGAGAAGAATCGCTTCGAGAGGCTCATGGAATACTTTGGAACGGAGGACAACAACATTGATTTCATGGTAAAATCTTCGCTGCGAATTCACGAAAAGAAGTCAATGTCCCATCTCTTCTGATTAGAAAGTATTAACGCTGTATTTTAGCGATAAACATCTCTCTCTCTTTCTCTTCATATGCCAAGAGCTTTTTCAAAGACGTCGATGATCATAGCCCTTCCATTCATCTCTGTCCACGATATCTACTCAAGCACTTTGCATCGAATACGCCTCTCAGTCGCATCCATTCACTTAAAATGGTTACGTACAAAAAAACACATTCTTGGTTCTTTCAGTAAAGTAACGTAGAAGGGAAATAGTAAAATAATAAAAATAAAACATAATAAAAATTCTCACGACGTTTCGATTGCAACACCTGATGATGATGATTGTGTTGCAATCGAAACGTCGTGAGAATTTTTATTCTTATTATTTTAATTATTTTATTATTTCCCTTCTACGTGACTTCACCGAAAGAACCAAGAAGATGAATCCCTGCAGTCACGGAAGCTTTAAATCGAAATGTACTCAAAATCGTCGTCTTCCCAGGCTTCTTGTACCGAGAACATTCCCAGTCAAAGCATTTCTGTTCAGTTGTTTGCGAGCGCGTGGAGTGCCCTCGCCGGCAACGTCCGCTAATCCGGCAGCGTCCGTTTAACGCGGCTGACTGGGCCGACGGGAACCCAGCAGGTTGCGACCACCTCAGAGATTTGTGCTCGCTTGAACAATATGCCGGGGTGACAGCATCGGCGTGGAAGGCCAACAGGCAGACGGACTGAGCCCTCCCCTGTACCTATAGGGCGCCATGATGGGGAGATGTTAACTACCTTGGCCTTGGGTTCGATCCCGATCCCGACCCTGACGCTTGTATATTTGGAATTTGCGTGCTCTCCCCGTGATCGCGTAGATTTTTCTCCGGGTGCTCCGGTTTTTCCCTCCACACTCAGAATCAACATCCACGCGTTTAGAGCAGCGGTTATTAACCTTTACTGCAGCCTTGCATCCCTATGGTTCTCAATCGTAAAAACAAAAAGTATAATGTTAATAAATGCATAGAGGATTTGATGAAACAACGTAGTTGCACTTACGCACCCGTGCTAAATTTGTGTGTTCGATGATTACCCTTCTAAAAAGATCTGGCCATGTCTCGCACTTCCAGAAAGGGCATCTCGCACCTCCAGAGGATGCATGCACCCCAGATTAAGAACCGCTGGTTTAGAGTATTCGACTAATATAAATCCCACCCGATGAGCCAATTCGTTGCGCTATCATTTGCGTGCTTCTGAACAAACACAGCTACGTAGCTCAGCGGGCAATACCTGGTAAAACAAACATAGTTTACAATTTAAAATAGTTTATACGTGGGGACACAGGCCAGAGTGCGGCTGTGTGTGCGTGCCCGCGTTTGAGTGTGCGAGTGATGGATGGTGCCTCCTCCTCCTGCCGCCAGGTGGCCTGCATGCAGTTCATCAACATCGTGGTGCACTCCGTGGAGGACATGAATCTGCGCGTCCACCTGCAGTACGAGTTCACCGAGCTGGGCCTGGACGGCGTGCTCGAGGCAGGTCTAGTGGACATCCGTGAAAAAAAACGCTTCGTAGTTCATCGGATTCCTCCAGTATGAAGAAATACATATTCTGATTCTCATTTTGAGGTTTCCCGCGGGCGTGACCCCTCGACCTCCTCCGCCGCCCACCCTCGAAGCTGCGCGTCGCTGTGAACAACATTGAACACGTCAAGAGCCTCACCATCCTGGGCGCCATGGTTGCGAGATGTTAACTACCTCGCCTGGTATACAGGAGGTCGCGGATTCGATCCTAACCCTGTATGTTTGGAGTTTCTATGTTCTCTCCGTGGATTTTTCTCCGGGTCCTCCGATTTATTCCCTCCACATTTAGAATCAATATCGACGACTTGAGAGTATTTGGCTGCTGTCAATTTAGAATTTAGTTGAACGCGGCCGTTTCCATCGGGCAGAGGCGACTGCGTGTCGTACCGCGCTCACGATCGCCGCGTGTCGCACGCCGCACACGATCGCCGCGTGTCGCACGCCGCACACGATCGCCGCGTGTCGCACCGCGCTCACGATCGCCGCGTGTCGCACCGCGCTCACGATCGCCGCGTGTCGCACGGCGCTCACGATCGCCACGTGTCGCACGGCGCTCACGATCGCCACGTGTCGCACGGCGCTCACGATCGCCGCGTATCGCACCGCGCTCACGATCGTTGCGTGTCGTACCGTGCTCACGATCGCCGCGTGTCGCACGGCGCTCACGATCGCCGCGTGTCGCACCGCGCTCACGATCGCCGCGTGTCGCACGGCGCTCACGATCGTCGCGTGTCGCACGCCGCACACGATCGCCGCGTGTCGCACGGCGCACACGATCGCCGCGTGTCGCACGGCGCTCATGATCGCCGCGTGTCGCACGGCGCTCACGATCGCCGCGTGTCGCACCGCGCTCACGATCGCCGCGTGTCGCACCGCGCTCACGATCGCCGCGTGTCGCACGGCGCTCACGATCGCCGCGTGTCGCACGCCGCACACGATCGCCGCGTGTCGCACGCCGCACACGATCGCCGCGTGTCGCACGGCGCTCATGATCGCCGCGTGTCGCACGGCGCTCACGATCGCCGCGTGTCGCACCGCGCTCACGATCGCCGCGTGTCGCACCGCGCTCACGATCGCCGCGTGTCGCACGGCGCTCACGATCGCCGCGTGTCGCACCGCGCTCACGATCGCCGCGTGTCGCACGGCGCTCACGATCGCCGCGTGTCGCACGGCGCTCACGATCGCCGCGTGTCGCAACGCGCTCACGATCGCCGCGTGTCGCACGGCGCTCACGATCGCCGCGTGTCGCACGGCGCTCACGATCGCCGCGTGTCGCACGGCGCTCACGATCGCCGCGTGTCGCACGGCGCTCACGATCGCCGCGTGTCGCAACGCGCTCACGATCGCCGCGTGTCGCACGGCGCTCACGATCGCCGCGTGTCGCACCGCGCTCACGATCGCCGCGTGTCGCACGGCGCTCACGATCGCCGCGTGTCGCACGGCGCTCACGATCGCCGCGTGTCGCACGGCGCTCACGATCGCCGCGTGTCGCACCGCGCTCACGATCGCCGCGTGTCGCACCGCGCTCACGATCGCCGCGTGTCGCACCGCGCTCACGATCGCCGCGTGTCGCACGGCGCTCACGATCGCCGCGTGTCGCACCGCGCTCACGATCGCCGCGTGTCGCACCGCGCTCACGATCGCCGCGTGTCGCACCGCGCTCACGATCGCCGCGTGTCGCACGGCGCTCACGATCGCCGCGTGTCGCACGGCGTACACCCCGCAGAGCCTGAAGGAGACGGAGAGCGAGCGGCTGCTGATGCAGATCCAGGCGTACCTGGACAACGTGTTCGACGTGGGCGCCCTGCTGGAGGACGCCGAGACGCGCACCGCCGCCCTGGAACACGTGGACAGCCTGGAGGACCAGATCGCCAGCGTACGCCACGCGCAGTCGTTCACCTGTCGTTCACCTGTCGTTTACATGTCATTCACCTGTCGTTCACCTGCCGTTCACCTGTCGTTTACCTGTCATTCACCTGTCGTTCACCTGTCATTCACCTGTCGTTTACCTGTCGTTCATTCACCTGTCGTTCACCCATCGTTCACTCACCACTCACCCATCATTCACTCACCCATCGTTCACTCACCACTCACCCATCGTTCACTCACCACTCACCCATCGTTCACTCACCGCTCACCCATTGCTCACTCACCACTCACCCATCGTTCACTCACCACTCACCCATCGCTCACTCGCCGCTCACCCATCGCTCACTCACCACTCACCCATCGCTCACTCACCACTCACCCATCGCTCACTCACCACTCACCCATCGCTCACTCGCCGTTCTCCCCACCGGGCGTACCGCAGCGAGGCTCCGACCTACTGAGCCCCCTCCCCCCTCCGCCATTGTGACGTTTGCCCCGCAGGTGACGCGGCACATGGAGCAGAAGGAGCTGGAGGCTATGGCCAGGATAGCCGAGCTGGAGAAACAGCTGATGCACGGCGCCAGCGAGCTCCAAAGCATCGAGGTGAGACAAAATAAGTATAACCCGTAAAAACAAAGTTTTTCACTATAAATCCTTTATATGCGTGGCGGCTAGAGTCCTCTCGTCCTCTAGCTTGAGATGGCTGCCACATATGGGTCAGATGATTGTCTACCAGTATTAAGCAATTGGTAATTAAATATTTAATTTGTTTTCCCTAAACAGTGTAAAATTTTGGAAAAAAAATTTCACGAACATTAATTGTCTCGCACAACGAGTCTGTGTGCAAAATGTCAGCTCGATTGGATCACGGGAAGTGGGTTAAAAAACGACTGAAAGATTTGCACGGTCGTAATCAAGCAAGCAAGCACGCAAGCACGCAAGCAAGCAAGCGAACTTAATATAAAGGATTTAAAAATGCCGCCCGTCTCGGCTCGCGGCGATGGTGATGACAAACAGCGGCAGCGCATTCGTGAATCCGCTGCCGAACGAGGGCCTCCCCATCCTGCCTTGCTGGCACCTGGATCTGTGTTCGACCAAGTTTCACCACGTTGAAGGGTGCGGGTTGGTGAAGGCGGCTGGCACAACTGTAGGAGCATAGAAGTAAGGTACAGCTGTTGATTTTGCTGCACAGCCCTCTCCTGCCCATCACGTAGCCCCGCAGCCCTATGACAGGCTGTTTGTTCGCGGTGATTGCCCGTCCAGGCAGCTTCAAGGCTCAACCCTGCTTAGATTCCTAGTTGTTATTAGATCGGGTGCGTTGCAGTTCTGGATGATTTAATCATAGGTCTCACCTTATGCCCAATTGTGTGAAATGCATAAATCCACCCCTGTAAAATATTGGGAAAAGGTGCAACTCGTTTCAAAAGTACTTTTTAATTCCCCCGATGAACACGGTTGGCTACGTACGGTGCGAAAGAATTTCAACGTACGTTCATATAATTTCATGACGATCTCTCCTGGACAAAGGGACATTTTGGGCCCTTTGTCGTGCGTTGGTTGAAATTTGGAAATTCACTGTGAACGCGTCGGTCGGTCGGTCGGAAGGGTCTGTACAGGGATGCCAGCAGCCGCATCCATGAGCTGGAGAGCCTCCTGAGAGACAAGACCCAACAGCTGGAGGCGTCGCGAAACCAGAAGTTCCAGGCCCAGATGGTGGTGGTCCCGGCCGCCAGACACGCCGACGAGAAGCCACCGCCCGCGTCAGACTCAACGGGGGACCCGGGGGATGGCACCCAGCCGGGACTGCCCTACCTCACCTGCTCTCTGGTGGACCAACAGGTCTCGAGCTCTCACCCAGAAGGTAGTTTTGGGCTCGTGTGCGAGCCCACCATGACGTTCTTCCGTCGTTTTGGTTGCTGACGTAGATGCAGAGCAGTGAATACGCCGCGATCGACCGCCTGACAACGGGACGATCGCGACGCAATTCCACTTAAGAAATTATAAGATTGTATTTTATTTCTTTCAATATTGGTAGGCATGATTTACGAGATTGCTGCTGGTTACCGTATTGTCCTGCACATCCCCGCTGTGCTGTGGTTTTATTTTCTCACCTTGAACCCGGTCGGCCATCTGTCACAGATGAACCACCTCCACGTCCTCAAGAAGGCCCGCATGCTCCTCCGTTGTGTCGCCCAGTGGCGCCTCCTCCTGCACCTCCAGCACCACCTCTCCCAGGAGGGTCTGCGGCACCCCCTCCACCACCTCCTCCTCCTCCACCGCCCCCACCTCCTCCACCGGGACAAGGCATTCCTCCACCTCCTCCACCTCCTCCGCCGCCTCCTCCACCAGGCGGCAGCATTCCCCCTCCGCCGCCGCCTCCGCCTCCACCAGGCGGAGCTCTGCCAAAGGGACCAGGCAACGCTTCTGCAGGTCAGCAAGTCGCCACAACGCCGGCCAATCAGCGCCGAGCTGGTGGGGGGGGGGGGGCACACCTTCGGAAATCACCAATTAGTGATGCGCCGCTTAATCGATTAAAATCGATTCTCACGTTCATCGTTTATTTTGTTGTGGAATATTTTCTGGGGGGCTACCAAACCCCCCCCCCGCCCCCCAGTGTCAGCCCCGGATAGTTCCAGCTGCTGTGACGCCCTCTGTACTATAATGGCTGTGTTGTTGTTATTATTCTTTCCGTTCCTAATGCACGCGTCGAATCGTGTGCGTGACAGTTGGTTGGATTCAATTTCATGTCCGTTGTGTGTAATTGGTTCACGTGACTCCTGCAAGCCACTGGAGTTTCTGCATTCACCACATTGTAGAAACAACAAACAAATACCTCCGTTAAACCGTCACTCCAAAGTGTGATGATCCATCAAGTCGAAAGCGGGTTTGCTGGATCGTTCAGTGATCACAGTCGGCACAACGCACTTACCACCTTGTCTGCAGGTCTGCACAATATTTCCACGTTTAGGAACATGCATTTGGAGAATTTGATTGCAATGCATTTCCACACGATAAACCACTTCGTTGAGCTATCATTTGTGGCTAGGTGGCTTCTGAAAAAGAGATAGATATAGCTCAGTGGGCCTTACGTGGTAGAATAAAAAATAGTTTTAGTTTAAATCAATCGGTTACGACCAAAATTTAGCTCCATTAGTTGGGACAAATTTCAGCTCCGTCCCATTGATTTATCGATGCCCTCTGATACTAACGGTCACAACAATAAGACTGAAACAACCACGCTGGCTACATCCGTGTCCCCCTTGCCGCTTGATCGAGCTGGTGAAGATTAATTGAACTCAAGAGATGGAATAAAGGAGAGCCATACCCACCAATTAGCCGCAACAATGCAACCCACAATTTACATAATGTCTACTGCGTAACGAAACACCGTCTGCCTCCGAAGGAGCCGATGTAGTCGCACCTGATACTGACACAGTGACTTTTTTTTGGCTAATCCGACCTGCTGAAATTATTCATTCTCGAATTGATACCGTCTCATTTCGCGAGGGCTAAAGCTCGTCTGTCTGAATGCACGCGAGGGACAGGGCACCTTGATTTCGTTTTTGAAGTCAGTTTTTTCGCTAACAAAATAACATCTACGCGACTGAATTGTTAATGAACCAAAAAGCCGACGGTGACGTTAGGGTCGCGTCACCTGTGGGAAGGAAGCCGGCGGTGGTGGATTTGGTGCCAAATAATAAATAAATAAATACAATTTCCCAACCATCACCGTTAACGTGGTCGTTCAAGGCACTAAAATATAATGCCGTTGGTTGAACGGTAGGAGGGAATAACTTTTATAATCGTTTGCGTCGTTGTGGAGAATACTAATATCAAAATAAAAAAGCAGACACCTTGTCTTCCTGACATTCCCGTCTTTACACGTAAAACAAAAAAAAATATTAAAAACTATTTCACAACCCATCAGCTGCACAGCGAAGTTTCAGCGGCATTGATTGAAACACAAGCCAAACTATGGACCGCCTTCGACGTACGGTTTTGACGCTTTCTCAGATAAATATTATTCCGCACACATGCTCGCTGCAGAAGGGCCATCCCCGACATTCTTATCCCCCTTCGTAATGTTCTGCTATTCGGCGGCGTTATTGATTGAGCACATTCTCAGAGGTGGACGCTTCATGAAGTTCTGGAAAGATTCGTGATGTCGGGCAAAAAAGGCTAAGGAGAAAAAACGTTTCCGTTCTTCTCGACGACTTCCAGTAAAAGTTGGTCCGTTTAATAAAATGAAAAAGAATCAGACAAGATGACAGAAGATTGGGCCCAACGTCTGCCACTTGGCCGACGACTTAAAGATCCACCACTCCCGTGGCAAGTTCCTTAATGTATACTTTATTTCGCTCTGATCGCAGGATACAAGATGAAAAAGCCTATCGTCACCAAGATGCGCATGCAGGCCTTCAACTGGGTGGCTCTGCAGAGCAGCCAAGTAGACGGCACCATCTTCCACGAGCTCGAAGACGAGAAGGTGCTAGGGGTGAGTGCGGGCACCCTGCCCCGTCTCTCCCTGGCCCGTGTCAGTGTGAGCACCCTGCCCCTTCTCTCCCTGGCCCGTGTGAGTGCGGGGACCCTGCCCCGTCTCTCCCTGGCCCGTGTGAGTACGGGCACCCTGCCCCGACTCTCTCTGGCCCGTGTGAGTGCGGGCACCCTGCCCCATCTCTCCCTGGCCCGTGTGAGTGCGGGCACCCTGCCCCATCTCTCCCTGGCCCGTGTGAGTGCGGGCACCCTGCCCCGTCTCTCTCTGGCCCGTGTGAGTACGGGCACCCTGCCCCGTCTCTCTCTGGCCCGTGTGAGTGCGGGCACCCTGCCCCATCTCTCCCTGGCCCGTGTGAGTGCGGGCACCCTGCCCCGTCTCTCTCTGGCCCGTGTGAGTGTGAACACCCTGCCCCGTCTCTCCCTGGCCCGTGTGAGTGCAGGCACCCTGCCCCGTCTCTCCCTGGCCCGTGTGAGTGCGGGGACCCTGCCCCGTCTCTCCCTGGCCCGTGTGAGTGCGGGGACCCTGCCCCGTCTCTCCCTGGCCCGTGTGAGTACGGGCACCCTGCCCCGTCTCTCTCTGGCCCGTGTGAGTGCGGGCACCCTGCCCCATCTCTCCCTGGCCCGTGTGAGTGCGGGTACCCTGCCCCATCTCTCCCTGGCCCGTGTGAGTGCGGGCACCCTGCCCCATCTCTCCCTGGCCCGTGTGAGTGCGGGCACCCTGCCCCATCTCTCCCTGGCCCGTGTGAGTGTAGGCACCCTGCTTCATGACTCCCTGCCCGACGCCTCGTGCATTCCTTGCCGGTGAGAATGCCAGGCCGGCAGGGGGCAAGCCAGGGTGGTTAAGCGATGAGCGATTCTCACCCCGGCAGGCAGGCAGGCTGACTGACGGCCGTGGCCTCAGAGCTCTCGGTGCAAATGGCTTGAGATAAATAAACGCACGCAGACAGCGCTGGCAGTGGGTGCTCAAGCGAAAAGATCTCGTCAGCTTCCTCGTGTTTTAGTCGATTGCTCTGTTCTCCCCTGAAGGGATGGCATAATGGGTATGACATAATGGATGTAGCCTAATGTGTACTTTTTTCTCTGTCCCTAGGCAGTAGCAATGACAAAGGTGTCAAGTTTTTTTTTGTACTATATATATAAAAGTGCAACTTGAAACATTCGCAGATGAACATCCGCAGCGGTGAAATTCTAAAATTCGCAATTTCCGACGCTAACGAGGCACCGCCACTTTGCAGGCAAAGAGGCGTCAAATTGGTTTTTTACACTTCTATCTGGCAACAAAACTGACACCTTTTTACAAGGAGTCATGTTTGCATAGACCGCAATACCTGCATTCATAATACAAACAAAAAACACAACTCTGATAATGTGCACTGTCCTTGAAGTTGATTGGTTCACACCCGAGACAGCTTTCAACTTCAAGGACAGTGCACATTATCAGAGTTATGTCTTTTGTTTGTATTATGACCGCAGGTATTGCGGTCTATGCAAACATGACTCCTTGTAAAAAGGTGTCAGTTTTGTTCCCAGAAAGAAGGGTAAAAAAACAATTATCATATTTTTACTGGCAAATGAGGTTCCCATTGTGTAGATGCTTGCCCCGAGCTCTCATACTCTGATGGTGCATTGTCTTTGAGTTGTGCGCCTTTTGGCGTCATCTGGTCCAACCCATGTGAGACTAGACTCTAAGGAAAGCTGTCTCGGGTGTGGACCAATCAACTTCAAGGACAGTGCACATTATCAGAGTTATGTCTTTTGTTTGTATTATGACTGCAGGTATTGCGGTCTATGCAAACATGAATCCTTGTAAAAAAAAGGTGTCAGTTTTGTTGCCAGATAGAAGGGTAAAAAACCAATTATCATATTTTTACTGACAAATGAGGTTCCCATAGGCGTCAAATTTCCTCCCTTACCCCCCCTCCCCCGCACATGTCTCGCTCTCAGGAGCTGAACGTGGGCGAGTTCGAGGCGCTGTTCAAGACGAAGGCGCAGGGCGGCGGACCGAGCGCGGCCGGCGGCGACGGCGGCGGCGTCGGCTCGGCCGGTCGCGCCAAGCCCGTGACCAAGGCCCCCAGCTCCAGCGTCAGCTTCATGGAGGCGAACCGCGCCCGCAACGTGTCCATCACGCTGCGCCGCGCGGGGATGCCCACCGAGGACATCCTCACGGCCATCGAAGGGTAGGTGGGTTGGGGGGGGGGGATGCGGGGGGTGTAGCCGCACATCGCACACGCGCGCACCTCCGGTTCGCACGATTGGCTACGTATGGAGTGAAATAAGTTCGACGTATATGGACATACCCGACCCTTGCTTCGACGTCATGGTTACAGAATGAATTAACATCATCGCAGTATACTCTTTGGTTCTTTCGGTAAAGTCACGGAGATGAAAAATAAAAAACAAAAATAATAAAATGAAAATAACTAAATTATTCGTTTTTATTATTATTTTTCATCTACGTGACATTACCGAAACAACCAAAGAGTATGGATCATTGTAGTCACGAAAACTTCAAATCTAGAATCACCGCAGTACTGAGAAGCCTGCAATATTGCCCCGACAAAAAAACTAAACTAAATGTTTTTTTTAACCTGCAACGGAGTATGTTGCCTCGATCCGCCCCCTCCAATTAGCACGGTTGGCTAAGTACGGCGCGAAAGAAGTTCAAAACACTTACGCACGTACATTTCCACCGTGGGATTAATCCGTGATTGATCCACGGCTGGGTAAGGCCTCCCCAAATCTTCGCCATCTCTCGTCATCCTAAGATGCAACTATCCAGGACCTGTACACGTGCTGATTTCATGTTTTCCACGGTGGACATAAGTCAGTAAGTCTGAACACTTGTTATCGTGCACGCTTATGAGTGCATACACACATACAAACACAAAAGAAAGAGATCCCCCGTATAGCCTTAACAAACTGATGGGGCAAGTACCGTTCGCGAGCTGTACCTATGAAGGCCGGCACGGTACACGAGGGGGTGGGTGGCCAGCACCACGCCCGACCGCCTTTGTCTCCCCAATGGCGATGTTTTTACACACTGCACCAAGGACTGGTTCAGATAATCGCCACCAGTGTTGGCCGTCAGCAGGAATCGAACTCGGGTCACCAGGTTCGTTAGCGCAGGGCACTCACCGCTACGCGACCTCTCCCCCCACAAACATACGCACGCACGTACGCCCACGCGGCTACGCACAGATCGGGACGAGAGAAGGGGGGGCAACCTGTGGCAGTTTAGGTCACGTGTGATTTTGTCGTCGTTGTCCTTTGACCCAAATGTATCCTCGTGCTACGGGTGGAGGAGATCGATTTTAATCTGTCGCAGGGCAGTGTGAACCAATCCTGTTGGGGTTGGCCCACGAAGGTGAGAGAGCCACCTCTGAGCTCCGAGAGCCACCTCTGAGCTCCGAGAGAGTGATCTTAGGACCACGTGGTGTGTGGGGCAGCACTTTCCAGACGAGAGTCGAATTGATATGAAGGCGCTCTAGAAATTGAAAAGTATGAGAAGGGTTTTTTATTTTTATTTTCTGATTGTTCGGTGATACTGCGCTTGCAGTGGCGTGCGAGCACAAATAGCAGCAATGCTCATCACATTAGTTCGCAACACTGTCGCCTTGAAAGGAAAACTAATTATATTTGGTGACGTTTTGGACATGACCCTTCTTCTTTGAAAAAGCTTTTTTTTTTTATAAATGAAATTTAGGAAATGTCATTGGTGACCAGGCTGAGAGACGTCAACGCTCTACACGTAAGCGTAGATCACAACCCTAATCGCAGATGGTTGCGCAGTTCAAACTCCGGATCTCAGCGGTGTCAGCTCAGAGCTCTGGTCTTCGAGCCACCCAGCCACCCTCTGGCTCCCACGTGACTTCTGATGGATCTTCACAGCACTTCACATAATAGACACTCTGTCACCCGGCTTCGAATTCCCGCAATCCGGGAAACATTCCACACCCTGGAACGATCGCTCGTTTTCCGGCGCGTGTCCGCGCGACGCAGCTTCGAGGTGTCGCGCCTCTCCCTGGACTTCGTCGAGTGCCTGACTCGGCAGCTGCCCTCGGAGGCGGAGGTGCGGCGCATGCAGCAGTACGAGCGCGACGGGAAGCCGCTGTCCGAGCTGGCCGAGGTGGACCGCTTCATGCTGCGACTGAGCACCGTGCCGCGCCTGCCGCAGCGGCTCTCCGTGCTCGTGTTCATGGGCAACTTCGAGGAGAGCCTGCAGCGTCTCACACCGGTGAGGGGCTCCCACGGACGTCTCCCCCTTTGCGCCACGCGTGTTCTCGATAGGCGGTGCCCCCCCACCCCATCCCCATCCCCACCCCGTGGGCACGGGCGTGCTTCCTTGCACCCAGAGGTCGCAAACGGGTTTTGATTCCTTACCCGTACCCGGCCGCACCAGGGTCGCAAACGGCTACCCGTACCCGTACCTGGCCGGGTACGGGTAGCCGGGTATCGGGTAGGGTACGAGTATCGGGTACCTGGTTGCGACGTCTGCTTGCTCCCGCCCCCCATCCTCCTAGGCCGTTGCAACGCTGGCGAGATGTTAACTACCTCGACCCTACGTGCAACTAAAACGTTCACATTTTTCGTGTGAATTTTGACATTTGTGGTACGGCGGCCGCCACCCCCCCCACCACCCCCAATGAAGCCCACTCGTTGCCGCACCCACCCCACCCCACCCTAACCACCCCCCTCTGCTCCCCCTCGCCCCCCCCTCCTCCTCCTCTGTTTCCCAGATGACGAACGGCACCGTGCAGAGGTCACGTTTTTTTTTAGTTCACGTTGTGTATGAGCGTCTTTTTCCGCCGCAACGTTTCCATGCTGTAGCCTGTGGCCCCCCGCCCCTCCCCCCCACTAAAAGGCTGGGGGAGCGATGCCCCACTTGTTGAGAATCCGCTTCTTGATGGAATGATCTCTCGCGAGGCCTCTGAGTCAGTGCCTGCTGGAGTTTTAGTTGCAAATTGGCCTTCGTTTCTACAGCCGGAGCCTTAGAAAACCGCATCATCAGCGGTGTATCGGTTACACAGCGGACACGATCCGCGACGCTCTTCATGTCCCGGGAAGCTTTTCCAGGGCTGTGTGAAGGCTGTCGCGACGAGGGGACGCTCCTGGGAAAAGCCAGGACCGGTCGTCGATCCTCGTCGCAACCCGCTGGAGCAGGAGATCGATCGCACGCGGTTAACGCGCCTTGCCGTACGCATCGACTGGCTTACCGTTCTGTGGAAAGTCATCGATGGTCGTGGCAGGGGGGGGGGGCGGGTGAACGGGGGGAACCTGGAACCTCACCATAGGAATGTGCAGGTTACATGGCACGGGGGAATCGATGGATTATTAGCACTGCACCGTGCGTGTGTTGAATGTTCAAATCAAACTTGATTTTACCTACGTGACTTTACCTAAAAAACCTAAGAATTTGATTTGAAGCTTTCGTGACTGCAGGAATTACTCTTTGGTTCTTTCGGTAAAGTCACGTAGAAAGAAAATAAATTAGATAATAGAGTACGACGTTACGAATGCAACACAAGCAACCGTCATCAGGTAGAACTAAATTTGAGAGAGAGACAAAACACAGACACGGAGACACAGAGAGAGAGACACACAACATAGACACGCAGATCAGTTGATGAATCTGTCCGTTTGTTTTTACGGATGTTTTTATGAATTGGTTATTCATTGCAGTTTTTTTTCTTCTTCCAGCAAGTGAATTCCATCATTGCCGCGTCGCGCTCCCTCAAGTCATCACTGAAGTTGAAAAAGATTTTAGAGGTATGTAGTTTTATGTCATATACACAAGTACGCATTTCTCTCTGTGTGTATATATGTGTGTGTGTGGGGAGCGGTAGTGTAGCGGTTGCTGGGCTACCAACCCGGCTACTTGACTTCAATTCCCGCTCACGGCCAACACCGGTTGACGATCATCTGAACCAGTCCTGCGCCTCCCCTAGGTCGACTCAGCCTCAAATGAGTACCTGACGCTATTACCACTTGGGAGACAAAGGCGGCCGGGCGTGGTGCTGGTCACCCACCCCCACGTGTACCATGCCAGTCTTCATATGGTGCTCGCTAAAAGAATTTGCCACAAAAGTTTGTGAAGGTGATATGGGGGATCTTTGTCTTTGTATGTTAATGCGTATATGCAAAAAACACACACACTTCTCTATAAACCCAGCGTTTTAGATTTCGATTCCTGACCTCACCTAACATCCGTGGCGAGTGATACCTGAAGCTTGACCCTGGGACTACCATAAAACCACTCAGTCTGAAATAAGTACCTAATGTGGTGTGAAATCACCATAACAGCACTTGCCCCATGAGTCAATGTAGGCTACACGGCGGCCTCTATACAAAGTATAAACACAAACACGTACATATATAGACGCAATGTGTCAATATAAAGTGAAAATTAGATCTAACTTTTATTCGGTGTTTGCTTGCCACGAAAAAGGAGCTGCTTTTGTTATTTGATTTAACCCGTGTACGGTTGTTGAAATAGGGACACCCTAGATGTTTGCAGATATACGGTTTGAAGACAAGCCGTGTCGGGTTTGCCATGAATGAGAGCAACCGCGGGTAGTCCTGCTCAGGTGTCACGCCGTGCCCATAGCTGCTGAATAAGTGATGACGACGATGATGACGACGATAACGACGATGATGACGATGATGATCACCATCAAGCGGCTTCTCGCGAGCAGCTCACGTGCGCGTGTGTTTGCGTGCGTGTGTGTCTGCGTGCGTGTGTGTGTCTGTGTGCGTTCGTGTCTGCGTGCGTGTGTGTGCGTGTGTGTCTGCGTGCGTGAGTGTCTGCGTGCGTTTGTGTCTGTGTGCGTGTGTGCATGGGGAGCGGTAGTGTAGCGGTTAGTGCGCTGCGCTGTGAACCTGGCGACCCGGGTTCGATTCCCGCTCACGGCTAACACCAGTGACGATTATCTGAACCGGTCCTGGGCCTCCCCTAGGTCGACTCAGCATTAAATGAGTACCTTGTGCGGTGTGTAAACATCGCCACTGGGGAGACAAAGGCGGTCGGGCGTGGTGCTGGCCACCCACCCCCTCGTGTACCGTTCCGGCCTTCATAGGTGCTCGCTACCAGCACTTGCCCCTACAGTCTGTTAAGGCTATACGAGGGATATTTATCTTTATCTTTGTGTGTGCGTGTGGGGAGAGCGGTCAAGTCGCTACGAACCCGGTGACCCGAATTCAATTCCCGCTCACGGCCAACACCGGTGACGAATATCTGAACCGGTCCTGGGCCCCCCCTAGGTCGACTCAGCATCAATTGAGTACCTAGCATAGCGGCGTGTAAACATCGCCACTGGCGCTGGCCACCCAACCCCCCTCGTGTGTCGCGCTGGCCCTTATAGGTGCCGCTCGCTAACAGCACTTGCCCCACGGGGGGAACTTTGTCTTTGTGTGCGTTGCTCGGATGGACAGATCATCCTGGCGTTTGGGAATTACATGAACAGCAGCAAGCGGGGGGCGGCGTACGGCTTCAAGCTGCAGAGCCTCGACCTGGTGAGCCCCCCCCCCCCCCCCAGCATGGCTCGCCTGACCCCCCCCCCCCACCGCCTCCGCACATGAGGGATGACAAAGACGAGCCGCCACCCCAAGTTGTCGATGCTCTCGGTGCGGTCTGCTCGCGGTTGAGCGTCGTGGCTCCGGGATTGTAGAACGTCGCCTTCTTTTTCTGCCTCCGTTCAAAATCGCGGGGATGCACTCGCAGTGACGTGCGAGCTCTGAATGATTATTTCGATGATTGAAATAGGAAAGAAAAAATCTGAACGAGAAACTAAACTATTTTATTTTGTTTTACCTGGTAAGGCCCACTGAGCTATATAGCTCTTATTCAGAAGCGTCCTGGCTACAGATGATAGCTCAACAAAGTGGCTTATCGTGTGGACATTTATAGCAGTCAAATATTTACAGCAGTGAAATACTCTGAACGCGTGATGTTGATTTTAAATGTGGAGGGTAAAACCGGAGGAGACCCTGTGCAAAAAAATCCACGCGATACTACGGGGAGAGACACGCAAACTCCAAATATAGAGGCGTCAGCGTTGGGATCGAACCCACGGCCTCCTGTATACCAGTCGAAAGTAGTTTACCGATGCTTGTCAATCCACTGCCAAGGCCACTCCTACGTCGTGGTCAGCGAGAGGTGTTGTTTGAACGTATGTCACCACGCTGGTGAGCGTGGGTTGGTGAAAGTGGTGATGGCAGGGGAAGAGGGGGGAGATTGGGCAGGTCGGGTTTAGATATCACTTTCCACCGGTGTTAGCTACGGAGCAGAGGCACGGCGGTTCGTGCACTGCACCTATGAACCTGACCAGCCAAGTTCGATTCCTGCCTAGGGCTAACTGTCAACGGTGGGGTTATATCTGATCCTGTCCCTGGGTTTCACCTCCAAGGAACCCAAACAAACCCTGTGACCAACACACCTTGGGGAGGCATTCGTCCAAGCAGTGGATTCACAGAACGGCTATACATTAGCCATTGGCAACATTGCGCATTGTTATGATGGCCCTGAGTTACGCTGTGTTTTGAACAAGGGCCATTTACCAACAAGTTCACTTCCCGTGTGTTTTGCTGTTGCCGAATAATCTTTCTACCTTGGAGGGAGGCATTCATGCAGCAGTGGATTGACATCGGCCGATGATGATGATGATGATGACGACGGTGACAAAATGTATTAATTCTAGATTTGAAGCTTTCGTGACTGCAATGATTCATATTCCTAGGTTTTTTTTCCGGTAAAGTCACGTGACTTTGCCGGAAAAAAACCTAAGAAGACAAAATGTATCTCCGACAGCTGCACGAGACGAAGTCGATGGACCGGAAGCAAACGCTGCTGCATTACCTGGCGTCGGTCATCCACGACAAGTACCCAGACGCGGGCAACTTCCACGCGGAGTTGCAGTTCCTTGACAAAGCTGCTGCAGGTTTGCGAGCCGCCTCCGGCCACGAGAATGAACCCTCGGTGCCAAGCCGCCTCCGTGCCGCCAGGAGCCCGGGGGGGGGGGGGGGGGGGGCTCGGCCTCGCACATCTTGGCCGGCGATCCGTATGAATTCCTTAGACTCGGGTGAAAATCTGTTAATTATTAAAAAAGTAATTAAAAGCTGTTAATTTTTTAAAAGAGGCATTAATATAGATTAAACGGCGCCCCGACGCGAGCGCTTACAAACGAGTTGCGTTGTTGTTTCTGGCGTGCGCGCGAACTTTCAGTGTCCTTGGACAGCGTGCTGTCGGACGTCAAGGAGATGCAGCGAGGCATGGAGCTGGGCCGTAAGGAGCTCGCCGCTCTGCCTGACAACGCCACCTTGCAGGACTTCCTGGCTCACAACAAGGACACGCTGGAGCAGCTGCAGTGCGATGCCAACACTGCTCAGGTACCTGGAGAGATCACCGGACACGCAGAGATACAAATGACTAAGACACCCATATAGCCTCCGCAGACTGTTTGCGTGCGAGTGCCTGTGAGCTTATTCCTCTTAAGGCCTGCATGGCACACGAGCTAGTACTCTGGATAGCACCGCACCCGGTCACATTTGTCTCCCCGTTGCTGATGTTTACAGATGGCGCCAGGTACTCATTTTGAGGCTGAGCCGACCTAGAGGAGGCCCAGCACCCATCCTGATATAATTCGCCACTGATGAGAGCAAGTTTGCCAGGAGTCGAACTTGTGTCTTCGGGTTCGTAGGTCAGATCATGACGTGGCCTAAAACACAAAATCAATGAAACTGACTATTTCATAATCAGAACTTTGATTTAGGCTGTAAGAGGAATCCGATGAGCTATGAAGCTCTTTTTCACAGCTGCCCAGTAGGGGCACGGCGTCAGAAAGTTACAACAACAGACAATACAAAACAATAAAGTGCAAAGGTAAGAAAATCACTCAAAAAGTCACAACAACAATCTGGCTCTACTGCTGCTGCTGTTGCGGCAGTGGGGCACAAGCACAATGAACAAGAAACAAAAACACTCCACAAGCCCGTCAGCAAAATCTTCATTCTTCACCTGAAGACGGCTGCTTGCGTTGTAGCCGAAACGTCGTGAGAATTATTTTATTTTTTATTTTATTAGGTTTTATTTTTATTATTTTATTTCTTCCCTTCTACGTGACTTTACCGAAAGAACCAAGAAGATGAATCCCTGCAGTCACGAAAGCTTTAAATCGAAATACGTATGATGGGCAACGTTTCAGGCAATGCCCCCCCCCGCCCCGTCTTCACAGTGCACTATGAAGTCCAGGGAAGGTAGAGCGATCAAAAATAAGGCAGTTATGACTCGTGCAAATATCGGCCCGCGAAAACCAACGCATCACCTTCACGCCGTATATCGTTTTTACGTCGGATGTTACTTTTCTGTAAGAGTGATAGTTGTGTGCGTGTGTGCGTGTGTGAGAGTCACTCTCTCAGCTATGAAGGCGCGATTGACCCTCGGGACGTTTTGCATGGCGCGGTGTCTGCAGGAGGCGTACACGAGCGTGGTGGAATATTACGGGGAGACCACCAAGAGCATGCCTCCCTCCACCTTCTTCCCCTTCTTCGTCAGGTTCACCGCCGCGTACAAGGTGAGGCGTGGTGGCCGCCGCGGTGATGTCGCGGCTGCCACGGCGACGCGGCGGGTCGCACCGCCGCACTGGCAACTCAAGGGGTCGCCAAGTGCGATCACCCCGGTGGGGTTAAAACGACGGTGCAAATATCTCAAATCGCCCCCTCCACTCATCCCTCTCGCTCGCTATTCTACCCCCAACCGCTGTCCGCCCGGCAGTATAAATGGGTGCACCACAGTTAAGTCGAGCGGCAAGGTCACGTGTGGTGGGCTAAAGAGTGGGTTTACTCCCACGTATTACGAGGCGCCTGGCCACCTTGGGAGAGTAGACCAACGTACACTCTGGAGATGGATCTGGCGGGTGGCCCTTGTGCCACCCGTGGCGTGAGCACGACACTGCCGGGCTGCGCCAACTGAGACACCCGCCCCGCCGCAAATTGAAACTCCAAAGATGCAGGCGTCAGGGTCGGGATCTAAGCCACAATCTCCTGCATGTGTGCTCGCGCCACGTGTGTGGCACGGTGGTTACTTGAGGCTCGCTAACGGCCGCGGCTGTGTAGAGGTGTGCCGGCGATGAACAACACCCCCGACCTTCCCCCAGTGCCGGATGAAGCTAGTGCGGGGTCTGTAGCATGATGTTATAAAGGGGCCCTCAATGATACAAAAAAACACGTAAATATTAAAACACCAAATTTTTACTTGCATGGTAAAGTAAATGTATTTTTTCATTTGCTATACAGCCAGATAATACGACAAATCGCTAACCTCAAACACCCAGTCGTTCATTAAAGTAGAAGGCGGTATAGTACTATAGTAATAGAGCAAGTGCAGAATCACTGAACCGGAATTGATAGCTTGAAAGCATTGAGCGCGGGGCCCTTGAAAGTGCGGGGCCCGTAGCTACATATGTAGCTACTTTTGCTACTAGGATAATCCGGCACTTGCTCCCCCACCCCGCCACATCGCGGAAGGCCAGGCCAAGCTAAGCTGTGACGTGTCTGACGGTGGCGCCGCGCCCTCTTTCAGAAAGCGGAGCAGGACAACGAGGCCCGGGAGAAGCTCGAGAAGATGACCAAGAAAGAGGATCCCACGGACAACAGCCAACAGGAGGCGAAGGTAATGTCGGCAGTGTGCCTCTCTTCTTGGGGGACATTGACAGGCCAATCCGCAGGGCAGGGCCACACTCTATCTCTCTCGAGAAAGAGAGAGACTTTTTAATAAGTTTTATTGCCGCCAGTAGCAAAAGCACCGGAGGCGATATCGATATGAAATACACAAAGTCACCAGCAAACAAATGAAAATAAACGCTACAAATCGACGCGTTGTGGCGCTAAAAGCAACGCGCACAACACGAAATAAAAGCCACGTGGTGGTGGTGGTTGTGGGGGTCATCGCGCACGCCACGGTGACGAGCGAGCGCTTCAGAAGGTGAACACCACGAGGGTGCCGTGCACGCTGGTGCAGAGAGGGGCTTGTCCAGCTCCCCAGCGTTCGAAGAAGACGCGCTGCACATCACCGACACGTGTGTGGTACATCACCGACATGTGTGTGGTACGCGTGCTCCAGCCGGAGGCGCGCCTTAAGCAGGCCTCTGAACACTGGAAGCTCAGAGCAGCCGTCAGTGTCGAGAGAGACAGAGAGAGGGCTCAGTGTCAGCCTCTCACGAATAATTTCTGCCGTCGCAAATTTGGCGGCAAAAATAATGGCCATCTTTCGCACGAAACTTTAATATTAATAATTCACAGTCCCCTTCATCAATCCACTGCCGGTCGAAGATATCCCCGTGCTCTGTCGGTCATGGTGATTGTTTCACTATATCTCATTGTGCCGGTCATTGCCACTGGTTGGTGAAAATGGAGGCCCAAGATTTGGTCATATTTCACTGATGTCAACTGATGATCAAGTTAATATAGCGGTGCGCTAACCACTACTGCCACGAGTTCCCCTTTAATGGTAATTATTGACGTGATCTTTTGTAGACACTGCCGTGTAGCAGTGAAGTTAATCTATTGTCAACACTTGTCATGGCTGCTCACAACAATCCCACGGCCGTCTCTGGGCCTCGCATATCAGAGCTGAAATTGCACGGACTGTCACTCACTTCCTTAGAACTTATTTTTGTGTTTAGTTTGTTGTCCTTCCCCCCTCAACTCCGATTATCACGATTGACTACGTACGGTGCGAACAAAGTTCAACACACACACACAACTTGTCATTTTTTTCGTCGTCTTTAGTTGACGCCTAAAAGCCACGTTAAACGCACACCGAAAGTAAACGGGATCGTGATTTCGTGCGTCTGATATGCGCGGCTCCAGTCGGAGAGCGTGACTGCCAAGAAACCTCAGATGGACCTGATGGCCGAGCTGAAACGAAGGCAGCAGGCGAAGGAGCGTGTCGTCTACGAAGGCAAGGACGGCGCCATCGAGGACATCATCACAGGTGCCCCGCCGTCGCACCGCTGCCGCCGACCCACTCGGCGGACGCTCGCACGCACGCTCGCTCGCAAAGACAAACAACACCCACACCGTGCCGATCTCGTCAAGGAGTATAAACGCGAATTTCGGTCATCCTCGCAGCAGCCTTTTGGCCATGGCCATCAAACAAAGACGGCGGTCACCGCATCGAGCGGCGCTCTTTTTGATGCGCTTCTGCGGCCGTCTGGAACGCTCTTCCGTCTGATGTTAGGAATCCGCTGGAGCTATGCACTTTTAAATCTAGATTGAAAAATTATTTCTTTAGAACTGATTTTTGTGTTTAGTTTGTCCTTCCCCCGCGCCTCTGATTAACACGATTGGGTAGGTGCGATGCGAAAGTAGTAGGTCAAACATACAAAGACAAAGATCTCCTGTATAGCCTTAACAAGCTGTTGGGGCAGGTGCTGTTAGCACCTACCAAGGCCAGCACAGCACACGAGGGGGTGGCCAGCACCACGCCCGGCCACCTTTGTCTCCCCAGTGATGATGTTTACACATCGCACGAGGTACTCATTTGAGGCCGAGTCGACCTAGAGGAAATCCAGGACCGATTTAGGCAATGGTCACTTGTGTTGGCCGTGCGCGGCAATCGAACCCAGGTCTCTGGGTTCATAGCGCAGCGCTCACACACACACACGTGTACACATCACGTATGTACACACACACACGTCGTGTGTACACACACACGTGTACACACACACGTGTACACAGCACGTGTGTACACACACACACTTGTACACACACACACACGTGTACACAGCACGTGTGTATACACACACACGTGTACACACACACACGTGTACACAGCAGACACACGCGGCTGACAAGCCTCAGGGCTGGAAACGTTCGTCAGCGGTGGTGCCAGTCGGTCTGGAGCCCTGTGGGCAGAAGTCTATTGTTGGGTGCATCATCACCTGAATACGAACACGATGTGATGGATAGGCTACCTAAGTCCATGACGTATATCACGGTTGTGTGAAATAATGATGGGTTCAGACTGAGCACAATTACAATAATTTTGGAAGTAATAACTTTTATTCAAAAATTTATATTTGCGTTGATATTTGGTGCACCCCTAATTATTATTGAAAATGGGACCCTCCCCCCAATGTGTCACTTGGGGCCCCGAGGCTTTTTCTGAGTTGATTTGTGCAGAGCGTCACCGTCGGTGTGAATACTCTGGCACGGTGTTGTGGAAGTGGTGTTGAAGCTCAGGCTAAACTACTTACCGCTGTGTCTTCGTCATTAATAAACACTGCCTTTTGTGTAGACTGTATATATATACACAGAGCAGCCCAAAAGTCAGGCCACTGAGGGTTATTTCATTTATCTTCTTGGTTCTTTCGGTAAAGTCACGTAGAAGGGAAATTAAAAAAAATATATAACATAATATAATGTTATGTTTAATTTGTATTATTTTATTTTATTATTTCCCTTCTACGTGACTTTACCGAAAGAACCAAGAAGATGATTCCCTGCAGTCACGAGAGCTTTAAATCGAAATCTATTTCATTTATTTTAACGCTGGCATTAAAACTTTTCAATTGTTTATTCTTTAAGGTAATTATTATCATTATTAATGTTTATTTGTGTTCTTCCTTTGGGTCACACTCGACAACGAACGCTGAATTAATGGAGGCAAAACAATAATTGATGGATGTTGAAAGATTACACCAGTAATGTTTACAGAAATCCGGGATTAATTGCCAAAGAGATTTTATGCATGCATGCATGAATGTTAATGGAAGTCAATTTGAACATTTGGTAAAATTAATTAAATCAGCCTCTATGATTTGTTAAAAACAAATACGATAACCGTACGTGCCCTGAATGTTGGGCCACGCCGTACACAGGGATGTGTTCAGCTCATGCTTATTGTGGCAACCGCAATGGTGGCCACGTGGAATTCGAATTAAAGTTTTGAGGCGGCGTTTGATAATGACGCCGGTGGAAAAGTCTCAAGTTGTCATTCAGACGCTGTCTTTCCGACAGACCTGTTTTGCACCTGAGGACGGCTGCTTGCGTTGTGGCCGAAACGTCGTGAGAATTATTTTATTATGTTTTATTTTATTACTTTATTATTTCCCCTCTACGTGACTTTACCGAAAGAACCAAGAAGATGAATCCCTGCAGTCACGAAAGCTTTACATCGAAATTTGTCCTGATTACCACACTTTTAGGTGTAGTTGTAAAAAAAAAAATCACAATTAGTTACAGTCCTTCTTACCACCATCAGGTTTCGCTTTCATAGATTCACCTTTTACAATGCACTTTTAAAAGGTGGCAATTTCTTTTCCCCAGACATATATTGAGGTGTCTTTTTCTCCTGTTCGCTATTATTTTCGTTAATGGCTGCCCTTAACCCTTGAGTCGCCTACAGGGCTGCGTTGACGGGAATTCTGCATGTAGCCACGTGATCAGTTTCAACCCTCTGCTTCTCTTCAGCAGACCACTGCAAATTCTCTCCACCACGGCCTCACCCACCCCCTCCAAATCCCTCACCTCAAAATCCACATGATCCAAAATGCCACTGCAGATAGCTGACCCGTATCTCGATGCGTTACCGCATTGCCCCAATTGCTCTGATCTCTCCACTGGCTCCCATCGTCACTGTCGTCAGCATCCTCCGTGGGCTCGCTCCTGCCCCCCTCTCGTCTCGCTCCGCTCCCTCTCCCAGACACTTCCTGCTCCATTGACGAGGCCATCTGTCTCCGAATCACCCACAGTTAACCTTCACTGAGCGGGGGGTCGCGCTCCTTCCCTTCTGCTGACAAGTCGTCTGGGACTCTCACTCCCCCTTGCACGCGTCTGTGCCGCCAACTCCCTCCCTGCCCCGGCTTCAAATCTACTCTTCTTCTCTACCTATGGCTGCGTGTACGTGAAACTTCTTTCGCACCGTACGTAGCCAACCGTGCTAATCGGAGGTGCGGGAGCTGCCTGTTTCCTTCTGTCAAATAAATAAACAAACGCAAACACGGCACACACGCGCACCTGCTGATTGCACGTGATGCGCTAGCTCTGCTATTTTTTGTATTATTGTTATTGTTGTATGATGTTATTATCACACCTCCGATGGACACGGTTGGCTACGTACGGTGCGAGAGAGGTTCAACGTACGTGCACACGTTGCATGGCAGTCAGCATGCCCTCACTTACTTTGACACGATGCGTGGCCGCGCAACGCTCTGCTCAATGCTCCGCAGCACTTTTACTTTTTGAAGATCCATCAGACGTGGACGCCTTTTTATTTTTTATTTCCCAGGCGATAAGAGCAAATTTTGACTGAAAACGTCGGTTTTTTTCTCGCTTTATTTTATTATTTTATTGTTATTATTTTTCCTATCTACGTGACTCTGCCGAAAGAACCATAGGATACGATGAGAGCAAAGTCAAATAATCTGCGCGATTGATACCGTTTGGTAAATATTAATTCTTAATGATGGTAAATTTGTTTTTGAGATGACCGCACAACTTTGTCCTTGCCTCGTGCTGACTGCACGGGACCCGTGGCCCGTTTTTAGCTTCACGCGGCAGGACGGGATGGAAGTGAAGGGATCTATTTTTGCCGACCGGGCGTAGAGCTCAGCGGTTTTACATGCCGCACGCACCGCGGCGTTTGCCAGCGCTTCCCGCGAGCAAAACGAAAACGTTTTCATCCCGAAACGTCTGTGCGACAGGGAGCGCCGATTCTATCGGAGGCTCTTTTGCTGTCGGCACGCTCGCGGTGTGTTTTGTTTGAGGATCGACGTTTGACCCAACGTTTATATATATACATTTTTTTTTTCACGACCAAAATGTTACTCGTTCGACGCAGCATCCTCCGGTAGAAGACGAACGTGGAATATGTTACCCTCAGCCACAGCCACCATAAAATACCGGATGCCTAATGCATGACAGTGACGTGTCGCCTGTCAAATATGTGCAGGGCAGCCACGCGTTTGAAATTACCATTCACTCAACTGGGATCCACTACATTTTAACTCTCTCCAGACTCACGTTTAAATTTGATTTTGTTCAAATCACATCGGGTTTCTCCCGAGGCCTCCACAGACTCCCTGGCTGACGTTTCAGCGCAGTCCAGCGCTAAGCAGATGGGGGCAGAACTCGGTTCAATGCCTCCACATATCAGTGAATTAAAGTAGAAAAAAGTCCATCAGCAGTTTGGTTTTTGGGACCACGTTTGCCCAGCAGCAAACTCTGTACCGGTTTCGACCTTCTGCGTCTCATCGGCCAACCCGGTTGATCAAACTCTGCTGGCCTACGAGATGTTCTTTGAAAGAGCACTCCACGTAAACCATCGGGCCCTGTTTCAACAGCAATAGCGATATTATGCACAAACTATGTTTGCGTTTCAATCTTGATTTTAAGCTTTCGTGACTGCAGGAATCCATACTATTTGGTTATTTCGATAAAGTCATGTAGGAAGACAAGAAGGCTCACCTGATCGAGTCGCTCTACCTTTAACACCTGATGACGGTTGCTTGTGTTGCGATCGAAACGTCTGATCTAGTATTATTTTTTCTACCTACTTGACGTTACCGAAAGAACCAAAGAGTATGTTTGCGTTGTTTGTAAACCATTGGGTAAAATCGCAAGTCAGCGGAACTCCGTATAGCAGAGCACAAAACTCACTCGTGAGCAGAGACAGCGACCATGTGACCAAGCGGCTTCTAGGGGTCTACACCACGGCACAGAGCACTGCTCCGCATAGGTCACGCAACAAAAAGCCCCCCTCCCTCCCCCCCCGGGATGTCAACGTTGAGCGAGTGGTGGTGGTGGTGGTGGTTGTTACAGACTCCACCACCCACCTGCTGGGCCACGAGGCAGTCGAGCAAGTGGGTTGCTCACCGAATTGAGCGTGCGTCGTGTGTTTCTCCTGGCGCTAATGAATCCATGGGGGTGGCAGAGGTCAGAAGTCTGCACGCCACCTCCTCCTAGCCCTCGCAGGTCGGCAACCTGAATAACAAGAAGAGCCGATTTTTTGTTCGAATTCAGAAAAAAAAACAATAATCAATATCTCAAGAGCCACAATGCACTGCGGCGAATACGAGACGGCGGTCCTTCGTGAACAACGTCACGAAGCGGTTTCTGAAAGAGCCGCATGCGACTCCGAAGCCGCAGGTCGACGAACACCCCCCCCCCGTCCTCGCCCGACACGTGGACGCACGCTTCTCGCTACAGTCTCCGCGCGATCCGTGAGCCTTGCGGTGCCGCGGTGTCCCACGCTGAGGACGGTTTGGCAACCGGGGCCTGCGGGTGGCACTGGCGCCGCCGGCTCTCACACGTTGCACCGCTGGGCCCCCTTTCCCCGCAGATCTGAGGAACGCCCCGTACATCCGCACGGCGGTGGGACGGCGCAACTCCCGCAAGCGCGACGAGGCCGGCGTGTTGGTGTCCAGTTCGGAGATGCAGCTCTGAAGGACGGGGGGCGGAGAGGGGCCGATGGTCTCTGGTGGGACCTGCCTCGACAGCCCTGGTGGACGAGGAGGAGGGGTCCTGGTGGAGGGATCTGGAGAGTGTGAGAGGATGTCACTTCTTCGATCCCGACGCAAGACGCCTGTATATTTGGAGTGTGAATGTCTCGCTCGCCGTGGATTTTTCGCCGAGTCCTCCGGTTTTTTGTTAACTCCACATTTCGAATCGACGTGCGTTCAGAGAGCAGTTTTGGCTGCTGTAAATTTGCAACGTGATACGCCACTTCGTTAAGCCATCATTTGCGCTCCTGAAAAAAGTTACATAGCTCAGTGGGCCTTGCCTGTTAAAAAAAAAAAAGTTTAGTTTTAGTTTATGAGAAGTCAGGTGAGTGATTGGTTGCGGTCACGAAGCTAGCATTCCATGCCTGTACCAGATACCTTCTCTGCCGCACTGTAACCTCCGACTGCGCGTGATCAACTCATTAGCAACTCGCGTCAAGCCACCTCCTAAATAGCCCAGCGTCTGATATCCCTAATGATCGGTTTAACGTCAGGCCCAATATCAGTCCCAGGGGCCTCGTTAATTGCACAATTGAGATTGTGGCTGTAAACGGGGGGAGGGAGGAGGGGGGGAGACGGGAGCGGGGTGGGGGGATACTGGGGGGGGGGGGGGGGTGAGAGAGACGGTGGAGGGGGGGAATTATAATTGGAAAAGACGACGGCAATCAACAGCAATTTCAATTAATCTCTCAATTAATTTCCTCAACTCTATTGTGCAGGTTTCTACCCTAGGCATGACTGCTGCAATGTCTTAATACAGTGCAATTAGTTAAAGGATTATATGTCGATTTAAAGCTTTCGTGACTGCAGGGATTCATCTTCTTGGTTCTTTCGGTAAAGTCGAGGAGACGGAGTCTGAATATCTCCTCGACAGACCTGTTCTCCACCTGAGGACGGCTACTTGCGTTGTGGCCGAAACGTCGTGAGAATTATTTTATAATGTTTTATTTTTATTATTTTATTATTTCAATTCTACGTGACTTTACCGAAAGAACCAAGAAGATAGTTTTAGGATCTGTGTGTCTATCCGCTCTAGGTACGTGCCGAAGGTTGTGTTGTGGTTGCGTGTTTTGTCGGTCTGCCAAAAGAAGGGATCGAACTCGTTTGTGTAAATAGAGGGGGCTGCCAGATACTTCTTCATCTGGCACAGGTTGAGTTTGTTGCAAGCGCTACTCACTCGGGGTAAAGGTTCAACTCCAGAGCCAGGCAGGAGCTTGGGCCTTGCATCACCGCACAACACGAAGGACCTCGGTTCAATTCCACGTACGGGTGCCTTTTTCCTGTGTGGAGTTTGTGTTTTCTGCTCCCATGTCCTACATGGGGTCCCTCCGTGGGTCTCCTTTTTCTCACATAGCTATGGGCATCAGAATCAGAATGTTTCTTTATCCTGGATGAATCCGATAAGCTATGAAGCTCTTCTTTTTACAGATGTCCAGTAGGGGCGGGTCAGAGAGTTACAATGACGAACAATACAAAAAAAACGATGTGAGTGCAAAGGGAAGCAAATCACTTAAAATAAATTAATAAACCAAAACTAAATAACTTTTATTTTACCAAGTAAAGCCTACAGAGCTATTAGTTAATTTTCAGACGCAACCTGGCCACAAATCATAGCTCAATGAAAGTGGCATATCGTGTGGAAATGTACAGCAGCCAAATAATCTAAACGTATCGTGTAAGTGGTGGTGAGCAAACACCCTATGCTTAAGACGAGTATTTGGACTGAGTGTGGCTGTATTGGGTAGAGTCGGTGAGTACAAGAAAGTCACGATCACTCAGCCACCGCGCTCCCGATCAGATTGTTTGCTTCCGTCCGTAATCCTGCAGTGTTGCATACTCGTATTTCAGGGTTTGACGAAAATCTATATTTTTACAAGTCTGAACGTAGAAAAGAATCGAAATATAAATGCTTTGTAAAGACTGTGTTTTATGCTTTTAAGCGACGTTGAAATTCTGTTTCCAAAAAGGTGAAAGGTCAAATGTGTGTTATGCAATTAAGAAAAAAGAACGTAGCATTTTGTAACATAATGGCTGTCTTGACTCCAATTGCGAATACTGTTATGAAACCGGGGTTTTCAAGGGCCTGAGAGGTTTGAGTGGGAAGGAAATGACAGGGACCTCTTCTCGTGCCGTCCTGGAGACCGGGATTCATTTCCGTGGCCCCGGGTCGCTACGAAGCCTCGGTGCCCGTGAGCGCGAGCCCTTTGTTCAGAGCAATAGAAATGTTCACGTTGTTAGATTTTTTTGAGATCCAAAAAACATTATCTCAGGTGAATCTACCCACGCGGCCGATGAGCACGCTCGGCTACGTGAGGTGCGGACGAGGTTCAGCGTACGTACTTATATTAAACGGCGACTTGTGGAACTTTTTTTTGCTGAAGCTGCAACGTGTCTTTAAATTTCGATTTAAAGCTTTCGTGACTGCAGGGATTCATCTTCTTGGTTCTTTCGGTAAAGTCACGTAGAATGGACAGACCTGTTCTCCACCCGAGGACGGCTGCTTGCGTTGTGGCCGAAACGTCGTGAGAATTATTTTATTATGTTTTATTTTTATTATTTATTATTTCCATTCTACGTGACTTTACCGAAAACGTGTGTCTTTGTCGTTACCTGCCTTTGTTAGAGCGACGTGTCCAGGTGGGGTTTGCGCTGCTCGCCATCAGCGTTGCAGCAGTTAGCGTATTTCCAAAAGGTCAACGACCGTTGCCCTTTGCTAAAGTTGTGGCTGTGTGAATCGCTCTCGACACGATAATAATCGGCGCTTTTAAAAAAAACATCGCTTTGCGAGCGCGCGCGACAATTCGGTTTGTTTGGCCGAGTCCGGTTCGCGGAGGGTTTCACGACGCAATCGTTGCTCAGATTACGACGTGTCATGCCCACTCACCCGTTGTGGTTTTCGCGGCTCGCTCGTCCTACGAATGCGTTCGCCGAGAGCGATGGAACGGCAGCGTCAGGCGCGAGTTCCGTTTTGCGAGTTGCTAAGCCTGAAACGAGCGCTAACGCCCGAACGCCACACGGACAGATGCGTGACACGACGACGCCTGACTGACGGTGACGCTTGCGATGTCGAGACTGGCTCGGGGTATTTGTCGCTGAAATGTATTCTGTTGGGAACGCAGTTTCACGTGGGGTAGGTGACAAGTGTTCGCCTTCTCGACTTGCCCACCCCTTGTTAAATGTACCAGCGACTTGAGCTGTGGGTGGGCACACACAATCGACTGCTCACAAAACGAACGGCGGCCCCGTGGCACCATCCCTCCTTATTAGACTCGTCCCTCTCACCCAGCGCGACACCGCTCTTTGCAGGGTTGCCACGTCTCGCGTCGGACGCTTGCTCGGGGCTCGGTATACTTGATGCGCTGCCGTATGCAACCCTTGGCGCTAATTGGTTAGAAAGGAAGCTGCTTGCTTGCTGCTGCTGCTGTTGCTACACAGGGCCGTGTAATCGCAGAGGGACGCCTTCGCCTGCCCCTTCCTCTTCCCCAACGAAAGTCATTGCTTTTTTCTCTTCCTCCGTGGCACAAGCCAAGTGACAGGTTGGCTGCGTACACGCAGCGCCGCTTTGCACGTGTCCCTTGCGTGGCTTGGCGATTGGCGGCATGAGCGCCTACCCCGGCGTATGAGCGCCTACCCCGGCGGAAGCCACGACGACAACGAAGTATGCCTCCCAATGAGAATGCCGATCGTCATAATCGTGAAACACAAATGCATAATCTTTGGTTTTTTCGGTAAAGGAGGAGGTTTTTTTGCTGTGGTTGTCCCACCTGATGACGCTGGCTTGTGTTGCGATCGACAAGTCGTGATCAATTATTTTTCCACCGGCGTGACTTTACCGAAAGAACCAAAGAGTATGGATTCCTGCAGTCACGAAAGCTTCAAATCAACAAACGCATGAACTGATTCGTCCGGCCGAATCGAATCTCTCTCGAGTCGGTGTAATCGCCCGGGCGCAGGTCGCTATGTCGTCGGCGTTTCATTCGCGAACACCGCTTCGCGGTTTGTCGCGATTCATCCATTCGCCCGTTGCCTTCGTACAAAAGCGGACGAGCGACCGCTAAGACTCAATAAGACCGCATGAAACCATTCGAGTAAATTATCCCCCACCGTGCCCCCCCTCCCCTCCCGCCACCGACTCCTCGCCTACACCGCTGTAGGCAAAGCGAGGTGGGGCCATGGACGTTTCTTTGTCAACTGCGCGCCGCTTAATCGGTTCGCATTGATTTCAGCCGCGCCACCATCAACGCGCGTGCCACTTTGAGAACGGCGCCCATCACGCCGGACCCCCACACCCCCCTACCACCCCCCCCCCTGCGGATCGAAGGGCTTGCGAGCTGACGAGAGGAGAGCCGGCTGCCTGACGCACGCTGCTGCTGGACGTGGCACCACGCCGTCGTGGGGAGCCGAGTCAGTTTGGCTGTCGCCAGTTTGATCATCAAGCGCACACGAGGAATGCCTCCTGCTACTGCTGCTGCTACCGCTGCGGCTGCTGCTGCTGCTGCGTGGGAGACGCTGATGCCGCCGGTTGTGTATTGGTCAGCGCACTCACTTTGCACTTGCAATCCAGAGGCCGTCGGATATCACCCCCCCCCCCCCAGCCCACTCCCCCTCCCCTCCCAGCCCACGCCCCTCCCAGCCCCCTCCCACCCCCCAGTGTAAACTAATACATCAAACGGTCGATCCGTTGCTTGCAGCGTGGTATGCGATGAAACGTGGATACTTTCGACCTCTTCCGAGACGTCTGAGCAGCGTGGAAGAGTAGGCCCAATATTGTCTGAGAGGGGAGCTCTCTACAGCTCCCCTTCTACTCGATGCCCTTCTGCTGGCAGTGGCGTGAGCGGAAGCAATTGCGGGGCTGCGCCTTTAACTCGACTCGACTCGAGTGCCATGTGCCCAGCAAGAGGATTCAGAGTGAAGTTGTTCGATCTACTCGATGTTGTTAGCTATCGCGGTTGCTGGCCATAGACGTTCATTACTTTTGTTGTTGGGCAGCTGCCTCCTGGCGGCGTTCTTGGTTCATTCTGCGGCGAGGAGTGAGAGACGCGGAGCCATCAGGAGGAGGCAGTCGGCAGGTGTCGTTTGGGAAGCAATTTACAAACCCCGGCGGGGATTCGCCCGCCCTTTGTTCGGAGCGTGCTTTTCACGATCCGCTTACACGACCATTATCCTCTCGTTTGCTCCACTTAAGTAACGTACCCTATGCACAAAGACAACGATCCCGTCCCAACTCCCCCCCGCCCGCCCGCCCGCCCGCTCACCAACCTCCTGTGGTTTGTAACAGGCTTGTTGGGGCGAGCGCTGTTGGCGAGAACCTATGAAGGCCGGCACGGCATATGACGGGTGGCCAGCACCACGCCCGGTCGCCTTTGTCTTCCCATTCACGATGTTTACACACCGCACCAGGTACTCATTTGAGGCTGAGTCGACCTAGGGGAGGCCCAGGACACGTTCAAATCATCGTAACCGGTGAGCGGGAATCGAACTCGGGTAGCGCAGTGCGCTAACGGCTTCGCTACCGCTCTCCACTCGCGCACGCACACACGCACACACGTGTATGTGTGTGTGTCTACGAATTGACGTGTATGGCTGTTGTTGTTGTTGTTTGTTGTAGTTTGCTTTGTTCGAGCTGCAGCATTGACCGTGCAGTGCCCAACACCGAGGAACGGGGCAATTGTCCTCGGCCCATTTTCACCTGCAAGGCAACGCGACGATTTGCGATTCGTATCTGTTTTCCAATTATGATCAGCGCTGCGCCCGTTAACGGTGTTATAAGAAATGTAAACACTCTGCTACAAAACATGTCTTTTTTAAATGTAAAAATAACAATAATAATTATCTGGTTTGTTGTGAGTTTGTTGAATTACTTTTTAACCCCTTTGACCGGTGTGCTAAACTGTTGGTGTGGTTTTAATGGCCGGGGTTAATACCATATAAATTAAACGCATTTCGAATCCTAAGGGTTGATGCAGGTTTTCCTGACATTTCGTGAGAGCGGAATCGCAAATAATTAGATTTCCGTGAAGGTGACATTTCTTCTTAATTAGAGCAAACGAGTCGAGCAAGGAGCACGTGCTGCGTGTTCCACTCATCGAATGTGGGAAGAGAGGGATGGCACGGCATCTTGGGAAGTCGGGGTAAATCTGGAATCCAGCAGCACCAAACTCCCTTCGCATGCGCGTCGAGGAGGTGCCCACAGCCTGGCTTGCCAGGATAATTCAGTACAGCAAATGTGGACGGCCCCCAGTTCCGCCTGTATGGGGAATCGAAAGATGCCCCCCGGTTTCCTCCCACGCGTAAAACACATTAATTGTTTGGAAACATCTTAATATATAGGGGACATCAGAGCTTGGGCAATTGTTGGCACCGATTCGCTATCTGGCTACCTTCCTGATTGTCTGTGGTTCCTCCTCGCGCCTCTGAATCGTTAACTCTCTTCACAAGAGTGGGCGAATTCTGTGCAGCGCATTGAAAGCTAAAATTATTATTTTTAATCTGAAAGATCAATTGACTCTGGTTATACAGAGGCAGAGGATGGCCGGGGGGAAAAAATATGGACTGATGGAGGTGGAAGAGTCATTAGAGCCACGAAAACGTCAGCAACTGATCGAATCTAATGATCGGCAACCGTGGAGGACTGATGTCTTCCTGTCGGAAGCTTGTGAATCTCTTGGCCTCTGCAAAAGGGCTGGAGGGAAAGAAGAGCCAGATTTAGTTATCGGGGTTACCTAGAAATAGTGCTAATGTCTTGCATTGCTTCCTTGGCCAGTTGAGTGGGTAAATTGGAATTAAATATATTGTCGGCGATACCAACAAAAATTTAAAGTCCATCGCTAGCCCTGCAACACTTGCACTGCACCTCCGATCAGCACGGTTGGCTGTGTACGGTGCGAAAGAAGTCCAACATAGATGCACACTGCTCTGCGAAGCCAATGTGCGTACAGCGTAGTGAGTTGATTAGGTGAGCGAGTGCAGAAGAGTATCGTGGATCACGAGGTCGAGCACCGACGATGACGCATCGGTCACGTGACTCTATTCGCCACTTCACGTTCGCGACGGGAGGCGATTTTGTAAGAGGCGCGCGGCGTTATGAGGAATGACGGGTTGGGGCGAGCACGTGGCAGCGCTCGTCTTACCAAACGCTGCTTGCGATGCGTTGGGTGCCGATCCTCGGTGGGGACCGTTCGAGGGCCACAGGGAGTGAAATTGAGCCCCATCCGTGGCAAATGCCTCCACCGACCAGCACGGCGAAAAGCACGAACACAAATAACCTTCAACGGTCTGACACGCACCGACTCGCGCGCTCTTGAGCCAACACGTCGCAAATCGAGGACATCAAAGACAAAAGCCCCCACGTGGAAAACTAGAAAGGATGAGCAGACTGTGGGGGCGAGTGCTGTTCGCGAAGGCCGCACGAGTGGGTGGGTGGCCAACACCACGCCCGCCCGCCTTTGTCTACCCTCCTGGAAATGTTTACACCTCGCACCTGGTACTCATTTAAGGCTGAGTCGCCCTAGGCCCAGGACCGATTCAGACATTTGTCACCGACGCTGGCCGTGAGCAGAAATCGAACTCGGGGTCGCCGGGTTCATCGCGCGGTGCGCTAACCGTTGCGCCACCGCTCCCCGCTGCAGACACGTACACACACAATTCACAATTCACATGTTCGGACAAAAAAAGCATCAAGACTCGCGGTGAGCGTTCTGCTTGGTAAATGAAGTGTCCATGTCGATGACCGATGTCCATCTCAACAGAATAAACATTTTTTTGCGAGAACTTACCGCCGCCTCTTATATGATTATCGTCATTAGCACCGGAAAAATTACCCGTGCTCTGTTGACAAACGTACACCAGCAGCCCACTCGCATTGTAACACGAAAAACACACAGGCGGGTCCATTCACGGCTTCTAAGATTAGTCATCGAAATAGAGCAAAACTATTCCTCGCATTTCATGCTGGGCGATGAGCAGGGCTCTCCAAAATGTCCATAACACCCACCCCGCCCTCCCCAACCAACAACAATATGAAATGAATTATAATTTTAAATGATTTATCGTAATTTTCAATATAGAACGTAACACCGCTTCTTTGAAAAAAAAAACAATTCTGAAATTAAATCGGCCCTTTCATTTTTAAGAGGAGCATTTACCGCCACTTATTTCTTTGATGAATGAGAGCCCGTGCCCTCATAAATAAACAAGGCGTAATGGTCGGTTATTACCTCTGAGTGCGACCGCGCAGAGCTCGCAATTAAGGACTAGGAGCACAGACCCGGCGCGCGTGGGTTGCGTGGGGAGCGGTGGTGTAGCGGTTAGCGCGCTGCGCTACGAACCTGGCGATCCGAGTTCGATTCCCGCTCATGGCCAACATCAGTGACGAACCGTTCCTGGGCCTCCCCATAGGTCGACTCAGCCTCAAATAAATATCTGGGTGCGGTGCGTAAAAATATCGCCACCGGGGAGACAAAAGCGGATGGGCATGGTGCTAGCCACCCACACCCCCTCGCGTGCCGTTCTGGCCTTCGTAGGTGCTCGATAACAGCACTTGCCCCTACAGTCTGTTAAGGCTACACGGGGGATCTTTGTATTTGTGTTGTGCGTGGGCGTGTGCAAATGCGCAGCGATGACGCAGCGGGTTAGCGCACTGCGCCACCGAACCCAGCCTCCCGAGTTCGATTCCCGCTCAATAACGGGTCCCGGGTAGATTCAGCCTTAGGCGATTACCTATACGCGGTGTGCAAACATCAGCGCCGGAGAGACAAAGGCTACTGAGCATGGTTGTATCGTGGTCGGCCCTGATAGTTGCTCGCTAACAGCACTTACCCCCCCCCCACCTCGCATCCATCGACAGTCTGTTAAAGGCTGCACGGGGGATCTTTGTCTTACTGCCTCTGCAGTAATCCCTTTGGTGCCCGAGTAATCACAAATACACCGGTGGCAGCTTCGGTTGATGAGTGTTTACTTGGCAGACCGAGAGGAGGTCCCCGAGATTGAGTCTCACCACATGCCCCCCCCCCCCCCCAGTCACCCACCCACACAGTGTCTCTCGAAACACAGACAACGTCTCTCCATCAGCTGTCGACCGCCGTTAAATGTAGGGATAGGCAGCGTCTGCACAGAGCAGAGAACAGGGACGCGCGCAATAGGCATTAGATTCCATTGCACAGTGAAGAGGAGAAGGCGCATCCAATTCTTGGCGGAAGAGCCCCGCTCTGAAAGGAGAGCGTGCCCTACATGCCTGTGAGAAGTCACGAAAGAGTTGCCACCACCCACACTTTTGACCCCACCACACGACAACATGCCGTTCGGCCGAATGTCGGATGCGCATTCCTGTTTGCACGACTCACCCGTATTTGCACGTTTTCATTATGGGCCACAGGTTACGCTGGGGACTAAACAGCCGTGATAGTGTGACGACGTTTGTGGCGGAGCGACGGAGCGGCGGGGCGACGGGTAGAGAACTGCGCTCTGAACCTGGATTCACCTGAGTTCGATTCCCAGCCACGGCTCACATCCTTGACGAACGATATTCACAGACCCAAGTTGGGGGCGAGATTGTTTTGGGGAGGCGTTCATCTATTACCGTATTCTCAAAGGGTTGGGATGCGCACTATGTTGGTTATTGAGCACGATGGATGAGTACTATGATGGTCTTCTTGGTTCTTTCGGTAAAGTCACGTAGAAGGGAAGTAATAAAATAATAAAAATAAGATGAGTTCAGGCCATGTCATGTCTCTCACATACACACACACACACGTGCCCCAGGTGAGTCATTCATCAGGCTAACAAGGCTGCCCGCCTCTCTGCTCTTGATTTATTTGAATCGGGCAATTCAGAAACTTGCAGATCAGCTGCAGCGGAATTCCCTCCACTCCCCCCCACGTTGCTTGTGGTATCGCTATACGGAACGGCGGTTTCACGGGCAAAACACAGTTTTACAATGGGCGACAGCAGGCATGTGACTTCCCCGGCACTTGTTACGTGAATGTATCTAGAAATCAAATATAATGGGGGAAAACAACGACGGAAACTGCACAGCCCCATTGGCAAATCTACTGCTCGAGTGAAAGGCGTCGGTCGGTCGTGGGTTGATTGGCCATGCTTCACCACGCTGGTAAGTGGGAAGGGGAAGGGTGAGCGAACGGTTCAGATGTCACTCGCCACTGACGTTAGCCGTGTGCCGGGAATTGAACTTCGATGGCCAGGTTCACACAGAGCTAACCACTGCGCCACGGTTCCCAAGGTTATCGTCGGAAATATTTGCCAAGCGAATTTGTCTGTTCTGCCCATTTGCTTCAGAGTTGGGGACCGACTGCGTTTGTTTGAATGTAAGACGGAGAGACAACCCCGACATCGAGATGTAACCTCCCTCGCCTGGTCAGCAAGAGCCCGCAGGGGTTCATCCCGGACCCCTGACGATGCCTGCAGTTTGCATGTTCTCTCTCTCTCTCGTCGCGGTGGTAGCGCTGAATATTCCCCTCCAGTTTCTTTGCCCCCCCCCCCCACCTCCACAATTAGAAGCACGCGGTTAAATGATTTGGCCGCGGCAATAACATTCCCACGTGCGATGCTATCAGCCACTTCGATGAGCCTTCACGTGTGGCCAGGTGGCCTCTGAAGGACAGCTCGTAGCTCGGTGAGCTTGACTTGGTCTTCTTATTCTTTGCGCATGGCTTGCTGCAGAATAGCAGACGTGTTGTAGGGGAGCAGCAAGTCATCGAAGGTTTGCGACGATTTTAGTTGGTGCGTATATCGGCCGTGTCTTTGATGGCGCGCTGCTCTGACCGGGAGGCTGATGAGCGGCGTACGGTCTACTATGGTGACCGTATCGGTTGCGCTGAGCACTGAACAGAAAGAACATCGTGAATGTTACCATTTAAACTCTTTACCAGGTAAGCCCCACCGAGCCATTTAGCGCTTTTTCAGAAGCCAAACCGGCCACAAATAATAGCCCCAACGAAGTGGCTTCTTTTTCACGTGTAAATGTATACTCCTAATGAACGTGGGTTTTTTTTTACATGCGGAGGGAAAACACCCGAAGACAATCCACGCAACGACTGGGAGAGAGAGGAACGCCGACTCCAAGTACACGGCAGGCGGCAGGGTCGCGAACCCACGAACCTCCTGTGTACCAGGCGAGGTAGTCAACACCTAGCACTTGAAGCCTCTGCCTGCAAAAGGCAACTGGCATCGAGGGAGGGCCCGCGCGCCGCACCGCAGGAGGAGCTGCATGGGGTTCACCAATGCCGGACAGCTCGTCACCGCGGCGAGCGGGGATGTTTCTGACGGTCGGAAAACTCCCCACGGGCGTCGTGTTAAATTGTTAATAATGCTGCTACCGTTGCACCTTGTCGTGAAAAAAGAGAGAGAGAAAGAGAGAGAACAAAAAACCCCATTGAATTGTCAGTTGTCTTTTGATGTTCGAGACATAGCCCCAGCAGGAAAAGCTACTGATGTACATTTTTCATGGCGCTCCATCGGAATGGTGGTTCTTGGTAGAGTGGTGCTACAACAAAGGCTGATGGGTAATAATTTGGCAATGCTGCATGGTAGCGGCTAATAATTATGATTATATTATGTATTTACCTGGGAAGGCACACTGAGACCAAACACTATTTTTCAGGAGGGGAATATGTATGCGTACGTGTTGAACTTCTTTCGCACCGTACGTAGCCAACCGTGCCAATCGGAGGTACGGGTCTTGCTAAAATTGGGATGTTTGGACACCACCCGCCTAAGGAACCTGAAGACAACCAATGCAGTAGCAGGGGGGGGGGGGGGTGAACATACAAACTCTACACACCGGGAGTCACCCGAGTCGAAAATCTAACCCAGGGTCTTCATGTTGAGATACACTAAAGAAGTGGAATATCGAGGGCTGTGCTTAGTGTTTAAATGAAAATCACCTTGCAGGGGATGAGACCGGACTTTGCCGCTGATCTGTGCGTCGTTACTCCTAACCCATTGAAATTGTCGGCACACAATACAAGCCACAGCTGGGACTTAGCGATTCGTGATTGTCTGCGGTCCTTAGAATTCACGTCGCGATCTCCTTTAAGCCACATTTATACGCCGTGCATCTTCGTGGTGCGGCTCGAGCGAGGATTAGAGGGCCCATATTCTCATTTCATGAAAACATTGCAACGCGATCTTTATTTCATGTTTATGTGTTTGTCTAAATCAATGTTCCAAATGACACTCTCATCTGAGCTGCAAACTTTTCTCTCGCGGGGGGGGGGGGGGGGGCGGGAGGAATTTGGGGGGGGGGGTAGCGGGGTTTCATAAAGCGTAACATTTGCAAATCATTGAATACAGACACGGGCTTGGAGATAGCGGCAGAGGCCGCTGCTATTCACAATTACTGGACACGACCATCACGGGCAACGACGTAAAGCGATATTAAAATAGACGAACGCAACCCGACAGACAAGAAAATAATGGAATTAAATGTAGCGAAGAACGTCGCCTCGTCACCACGAGACTTGGCCGGAGCTGTGGATGGAACACCCGGACGACTTGCGAACAGGCGGGGGGGCATCCACGAGTTCGGAATCCTGGTTGGGGATAGACGCAGTCCAACTGGATGAATAATTCTTAGCATCACGTTGTGCTAGAAGTCCACAAGTAGCCAGCCTGTGAAG